CGTTCTCAAAATACAAACAGTAAATTAAACAAATTTTGTTTTTTGTTACATAGTGAAAAAATTCTTCTAATAATTTAATTTTATCTGACTCATTTATATTGACAATTCAGACATACATTATGCATTTTAAAGTAGACGACTTTAAAATGATATTGCCAATATTGTTGAGTTGCGCTCCTGGGACGACTTTACTATAAGATAGTTCATTCGATTACATGAAATCAACTTTAACTTGAGAATATCCATCAGAAAAAATCATAGCATGTAATTCGTCTTTAAAAAGACAAACACATGACATGATGACAGTAAAATTCTCCCGTTAGTGATTCCATAGTAAATTATGAGGGAAAAACCAGGAAAAAAACCTCATAATACTATCCCGACATTGTAAGTATTTGTTCGTGAATTTAGTTTACCTTCAACAAACATCAAAATTCTGATTTTATAATTCAATAAAATAAATTCAACATTTCAACGACATTCAAAACAACAAACACGTTGAGATCTATTTTGTCCAAAACCAAACCTAACAATGAACAAGAAAGGACAAAGAATTGCATTTATAAAATACCTTGTGAATGCGATCAGTTTTATTTAGGTGAATCATCAAGGCCATTAAATGTTAGAATAAGTGAACATCAATCTTATATTAAAAATAGAGAATTTGATAGATCTCAAATATGTAAACACGCATGGGATAATGAACATAGGGTTCAATGGAATAATTCAAATATAGTGCTAAAAGAAACGGATGGTAAAAAAAGAAAAATCAAAGAAGCGGCTCTAATTATGCTAAATGAGGCCAATTGTGTCGCAAATTCCTCGGCAGAATGTAGTAGGATCTGGTTACCAATATTGAAAGAGGAAGTTATTAATAAGAAAATACCAGTATTAGTAAGTCAGTAACATATAGAGGATACATCATTTATGTTTTTTAAATAACGTAACATATAAAATCAGAATTTTGATGTTTGTTGAAGGTAAACTAAATTCACGAATAAATACTTACAATGTCGGGATAGTATTATGAGGTTTTTTTCCTGGTTTTTCCCTCATAATTTACTATGGAATCACTAACGGAGAATTTTACTGTCATCATGTCATGTGTTTGTCTTTTTAAAGACGAATTACATGCTATGATTTTTTCTGACGGATATTCTCAAGTTAAAGTTGATTTCATGTAATCGAATGAACTATCTTATAGTAAAGTCGTCCCAGGAGCGCAACTCAACAATATTGGCAATATCATTTTAAAGTCGTCTACTTTAAAATGCATAATGTATGTCTGAATTGTCAATATAAATGAGTCAGATAAAATTAAATTATTAGAAGAATTTTTTCACTATGTAACAAAAAACAAAATTTGTTTAATTTACTGTTTGTATTTTGAGAACGATTTCCGAATTGGAAATTGAAACGTCAATAAACGTATTTTTTATCTTTAATTGTGGCTTATTCCCAGTTATAAATAGTAACTAAAGTTTTAGTTTTGGAAACGTTTAAATGTAAACCGAACATTTCGCTATGGTGTGGTGAACTGTGATAAGACGCAACCCTGTCTTACTCCTCGTCGGATTTGTATATCTTCGGATGTTGTGTGCTCTATTTCAATTGTTGCCGTTTGGTGCAGTATAGTTCGAGATATATATATATATATATATAAATATATATATATATATAATATATAATATATATATATATATAATATATATATATATTTGGTGCCAGTATATTTTTAAAGATAATTCGCAAGTCTTGTTCGTCAACTCCAGTTGTTCTCAGAAATTTCGATTTTTGATAGTCAATAAAACATGCATATACATCTACATGCCTGTCTCTGCATCGTTGCGTTAACACATTTAAAGCAAAATGAGCCTCTCATGTTCCCAGTCCGTTTCGAAATCTGAATTGAGTGTCACTCATCTGGAACTCGTACTTCTTGTAAATTCGTGTATGGATAATTCTGAGAAAAGTTTTAAGAACATGAAACATCAAGCTTAATATTCGATAATCATCGCATTGTGAGGAATTCAATCTTTTTGGTAATGCTAACGAATGTTGATTTTAGCCAGTCTGTTGGTATTTTACCTGTGTCATATATCTTATTGAATAGTACTGTCTAGGCTTTTACTTTCGTTATCTGCAATTAGTTTTAGTATTTGGACATTGATATTGTCTGGACCAGTGGCTTTTCCATCTTTCTGAGATTTTACTGCGTGAATCACTTCTTCTTGGTTATTTCTGGGCCTTTTCATTTATTTGGTTATCTGTGGTTGGTGGAGAACAAGGTCTATCGTCGCCAAAAAGAGTTTGTATGTATTCTTTCCGTCTCTCTAGTTTGTCTTCTGTACCTATAATTATTTCGTTATTATCATTTTTTAATATTGTTGATTGTCTCTTTTTGTGTCTACCTGTCATTTCTTTTACTTTTTATGAATAATAAATAAATAAATAGTTTATTTACGGTTATACCAATTACAATAATTACAATCATTAAATAAATCATATCATATTAACAGTTTTAGAATTCAATAATAATTACATACAATTTACACAAGACAAATAAATAGAATAAATACCTAAATGACAGTTTACAGTGACAGCCTACATTGTATTTTAAAAAGATTTTTTCAGCTTTTTTCTAAAACTATTCAGAGAGCTAGAAAAAAGTCTACATCTAAACCATTTCCAGATTGACACATTCGTCTTATAGGTCTATTTAGACAATAGTTTGTTTGTTGGAATTCTAAGTGAAAAACGTCCTTGGATCTTGTGCACCTTTGAGGAACCCTAAGACCTATTCTCTTCAAAATTTGAGGCGAATCTATCATTCCGTTTACAATCTTGAAAAGAAAAACCAAATCTAGCATTAAACGACGATTTTCTAATGTTGGTATATTAAGTAATTTTAAAATGTCACAATACACTATATCTTCTGAAGAAATTCCTAATTTATAGTCTACAAAGCGCAAAAATTTTTTCTGAACTTTCCCAATGCTTTTAATATGACATTTATATAAGGTGTCATATTTTTTGTGAAGTTTTTCGATTTCCAGGCATTTTGTTGACAGTTTTCTTTCACCTCCCTGTACTTTTTTTCCAATGATTTTATTGATTCACTTGTATTCTATTGGGCTTGTTTTATGTTTTCGTCTTATGTCCGTGAGGTCCATGATCTCTTGCGTTATCCATTCTTGTTTTTTGTTGTGTTTTAAGAACCCGATGTCTTCTTCTTGTATCTTTGTTATTTTTATTTTTAGAGCAGTCCATGTCACTTCAATGTCTGTCTGTACCAAGTTTTTCGATCGTTTTTATTTCTTCCTCATGCTTGATACTTATTTCTTTTTTCTGTTCAGGGTTCTTCAGTTGTGAGATGTCTATTTTTCTGGTCACTGTTTTCTTTTTGACTTTGAGAAATCTTTTTAATCTAAAATCCATTATAACTGGATTGTGATCGCTATGTATATCAGTTCCAGGGTATGTTTTCATAGAATGTATGTACTTCTTAAATGTGTTATTGAGCAAAATGAAGTCAATTTGATTTCTGACAATTCTGTCTTTTCTATCTGCAGATGATTTCCATGTGTATAACCTTCTAGGATGTTGTTTGAAGAAGGTATTGGTTATTAACAGATTGTTTTCTACGCAGAATTGTACAAGTCTATCTCCTCTATTATTCCTGGTACCTAGACTGTATGCTCCTATGTGGTCTCCTTCAGCACCACAACCAATTAGCGTTAAAGTCACCCATGATCATCGGTATCTCACCTCATTTTGTCAGTCGCATTATTTCATCTACATTGTTATAAAATTTTTCGATTTCTTCGTCTGACTTGTTACTTGTTGGAGCATAGACCTGAATAATATTTAGTTTCCTGTGGGATGTTTGTAATTTCAACATTGCTATTCTATCATTTAGAGGGATGAAGTCTGTGACACTGATTAAGCAATTATATTATAAAAGCAATATGAACCTAAGCCCAAGAAAATCTATGAAAAAATATATATTAAGGTTCAAGAACTAAACTCAAACTATATACATATGTATGTATATATATATATATATATATATATATATATATATATATATATATATAATATATATATATATATATATATATATATAATAGAGTTTGTATAACGACGCTAAGAATACAATTCTTTGGAGGATAACTTTCGGGAAAGCGTCAAAACAAGGATCAGCTAGAGATGGTATAAGCCAGTTTGGTGTAGAACTTTATTCTAAATGTGAAATTTTCGGTGATATGTTGTCACCTTCATCAGCACCTAAATGGAAAACCTATTTTAGTACAAGTGGTGGAAGTTAACATATAAAACCTACATTGAAAATGTTCAGTTGGTCCTAGAGTTCAAGAACACTGTCACAAACATGTTAAAAATATTAAAAATTACATTTAAAATTTTGAATAAAAACATTACAACACAACAGGGTATTATTTAAAATACAAACACAACAAAAATCTAAAAATTATAACCTACACAAAAACTGCAACTTCATGTTTCTTTCTACCTTTAACATGAAGTTGCAGTTTTTGTGTAGGTTATAATTTTTAGATTTTTGTTGTGTTTGTATTTTAAATAATACCCTGTTGTGTTGTAATGTTTTTATTCAAAATTTTAAATGTAATTTTTAATATTTTTAACATGTTTGTGACAGTGTTCTTGAACTCTAGGACCAACTGAACATTTTCAATGTAGGTTTTATATGTTAACTTCCACCACTTGTACTAAAATAGGTTTTCCATTTAGGTGCTGATGAAGGTGACAACATATCACCGAAAATTTCACATTTAGAATAAAGTTCTACACCAAACTGGCTTATACCATCTCTAGCTGATCCTTGTTTTGACGCTTTCCCGAAAGTTATCCTCCAAAGAATTATATATATATATAATATATATATATATATATATATATATATATATATATATATATAAATTATTTCACTAAATTTTTTATTTAGATATTTCTAATTTTAGGAAAATCTTCAGACGAGGCTGGCAGCTCAAATCAAAATCAATTGGGATATACACTACATTCACCAGGATATCTACCAAGTAGACCACATGGTCATTCAAGGAATTCATCCTTAGAACTTAGATTGGGTCAATCCAATAGTTACAGTAGAAGCTCACAGGATTTGCGTGGATTATCTGGCAGAGGGCATTCAAGAGCAGCTTCGTTAGACCTAAGACATGCTAGAAATTCTTCAGCAGATCTTAATAAATTAGTAAGGAATGATGTCGGATTGATATTTGGAGTTACAGCTTCTAGTTGGGCCGATCCTCTTAGGGTTCAGATTATAAAGGCACACCATAATTGGATAGTTGTGGCCTATGCCCACTTTGTTGTTTGTTATAGGTTAAAAGATTCTAGTGGATGGCAACAAGTATTTACCAGTCCATACATTGAAAGTTGCATTGAAAGAATTGCAATTAATGCTAAAATTGGTTCTACAGAAGCTTCAAAAATGGTTGCTATATCATATGGAAGCCAAGTTAGATTATGGGGTATTACAGATGTTGGTTCACGGACAAATATCGGCACCTTTAATTTGTGTGTTAGAGTAGAATATTTATTTTTTATAGGTAGTCAACTTGTTGCATTGTCCCCTTCAGGAAAGTTAGGAGTTTGGCATGCTATGACTCAACATTGGCAAACACAAGATGTTATGCCTATTGCTTCTTTTGATACTGCAGGCTCAATATTATTATTAGGATGTAACAATGGCTGTATATACTATATAGATATGCAGAAATTTCCATTACGAATGAAAGACAACGATTTACTTGTAACAGAATTATATAGAGATCCAAACAATGAACCAGTTACTGCTATCTCAGTTTATCTTACCCCAAAAACGAACATTTGCGGCAACTGGATTGAGATTGCATATGGAACAACTTCAGGTGCAGTCAGGCTTATAGTTCAGCATCCTGAAACTGTTGGTCATGGACCTCAATTGTTTCAAACTTTTACAGTCCACCAGAGTCGAGTTATAAAAGTAACACTCTCTGAGAAATATCTTGTTTCCGTTTGCTCTGAATACAATCATGTCAGAAGTTGGAGGGTAACAAGGTTTCGGGGTATGCTTTCTACACAACCTGGATCAACCCCAGAAGCATCTTTTAAGATTGTATCTTTAGAAAACGTTGAACCAACAATGATCTATGGAGTTGCTAATGAGTGCGGACCTTTCGGAGAACAAGATGATGAGCAAGTTTTTATCCAAAAGGTGGTCCCAGATTCTGACCAAATATTTGTGAGACTAGCCAGCAATGGGAAACGGATTTGTGTAATTAAAGCTGTAGATAATAGTACTGTTAGTGCTTTCTGTGTTCACGAATGTGAAGGGTCCAGTAGGATGGGTTCCAGACCAAGGAGGTTTATTTTTACTGGCCATTCAAATGGTTCTATTCAAATGTGGGACCTTACAACTGCTCTTGACATTTCTTATAAGTCTGATAGTACTAGTATTAATCAAACTAACGGCGGTCCGAATATGGAAGAATTACTTCTTATGTTGGATCAGTGTGATATTAGTAACAGTTTGTGTTCAACTCCTTGCATGTCTCCTTCTCCATATATGGCTGCTGCTTTACGACTGAAATCCAGTAATGTAGCATTTTTAAATCAGCAATTACATCAGGATAATGAAAAAGCTACAAACTCATCATAAATCATTTACTTAATTTATTAAATGTCAATTTTTATTAAATATTTAAATTTTGTGACAAAACATATTTTTATCTATTCATCAATCTCACTTTGAACAGATCTCATAATACCTAAATCTATCAATATAAATGACTTCGCTTCCGGTTTAGTTGCTGCTTTGCAATATTCATTTCTATTTTATGAGTTAGTTAGACTGATATACGAAGTATTATTGTATAAAGGGTGTTTCACATAGACCACAAAGACATATCTGAAAATAATCTGATTTGAAATCTGAAAATTTCCGCTTTTGGGCAGATTTTGTATAAGTATAATATTCTATCTAAAATTTATATGTTTTAAGATATTCATCTCTGTTACAAAATTTTGACAGACAGAAGGATTTTGTCTTATTTATAGGACACTGACAATATTATTTCTTTTTTAACTCTTAAAATTAATTTAATTTAAAGAAAAATTATATAAATTTTAGGCTGCAGTTAACTGAACTATAATCTTTGTTGTATTATATCACCAATATCCTTTCAATAAATAAAAGTTATTGGACAAATTTGCTGACTTTGTTTAGATTAACACATTTATTAATAAAAGTTTTATATCGGCACTTTCTTGTCTTGTACTGTCTTGTACTTGTAGAGTAATATTTATTATAAACTATTCATGAATAAATCACGGAAATATAAATGATTGAATCATTATAAGTTTTATTTTGCTGTTCTATAAATAGGACACTACTACTTAGCTTTATCAAAATGTGCAGCATTTCAGTATTCAATGGAATGGATCTGTGCACAAGTCGTTTTATTTTTTAAAATTTTACATTTATTTATTGCGATTTGCATAAAAAGTTTTATATTGAAACATATTTGAGAGAATTTATTTCATGGTAAATAACTAATATTTGAACGATTATTTTGGATAATAAATATAAAAATAAAGTAAATGATTTTTTTTTCTATTAATCTACCTGTTTATGATCTTTAAATATGTGTTAAAAGCGTTATCATTAGGAGATATAGGAAATTATCCAAACTTTACGACGTTGAAGAGATTGACGTAATAGTGCTACCGCCGGTGCCTGATTCTTTAACAGTTGAGGATGAAACAGGAATAGGAACAGCCGAAGTAAATGATGTACCCACAGAATTGGTAATAAAATACAAATAGTCAAAAAATATACAATCAATGAGTCTATGATAATGAATGTGCGCCGTCAAAAATTCTGAAGAGCAGTATCGAAAAAGGTAAATAAAAAAAAACACGTTATCTTACAGAAGAGGAATTTAAATGAAAAAAAAATTACTAGATTACACAAAAGTTCAACCTGAAGGATCAATATATAAAGTAAATTATGAAAATTTGGTGAATCGAATTTCAGGAAAAAGTACTGTTGAAATTTTTTTAAAAATTTTTGCAAATGGTTTATTGGAACACATTCTGGAAGAAACAATTCGATATGCAAATAGTAAAAATACTCCTTATTTTATATTTTCTTCGGATGAGCTCAAAGCATGCATTGGTGTTCTTTTATTCTCTGGATATCATCAAGAACCCTGTGAGAACAGGGATCTTGATCCTTATAAAAAAGAACCTTATAGATATTATAAAAAAAATGTATATCAAGAACTCAGTATTTGAAATTTACGAAATTTATACATTTTACTGGTAATACATGTATAGATAAAGACATATAGCATTTTTCATATAAAAAAGCTTGCACGTCATTTAAGATTTACGTTGTCAGAACCCCACAGCGTTGCCAAAATATCAGAATAGTTAGTAAGTGACGAATTTTTTAAATGTCAACTATTTATCAAACTATTATATTAACAGTAAATACACTTAGTTTTAAGACTACTGCAACATATTAAAATACATAAGAAAACATTTTAATACAAAATTATAAATTCTAAATTTTAAACTTACCTCTTTTAGGGCTTTAATCATGGACGTATAAACACAGATGGACTCATAAAATTGTGTAGTCAAAATTATTTGAATAGGTCACATTCTCAGCACCTTCAACTGTTGTCACGTTTTGTTTTAAAATTTCTTATTCTCGAGTCGCTGAAAATATTACTCCGTATTTTATACTCTACAGATGCTATCAAACCAAAATAATAATTTGTTGGTTAGATTAAGCTATTTAATTGTAATCAAAATATCAAGTGTGCACATAGCATTGTCTACATTATCATTTAATAGCGTATAATAGATATCAATCAATTATTTTTATACGTATAAGCACTGAAAACCATTTTTAAATGGCAACGGTTGTTTACATTTCTCTGTCTTATGGATCTACGTCAAACTTCAAATGCTGTTCCATGTTTGTTTACTTTTTACAGTAGATGAGGAAAAGTTGTTTTTCGATATTTTGGCTGTATTTTGAGTGATATTTGTGAAAAGTGAAATAAAATAAACGAAATATTTACATCCCGATCTCTCATTTCATTTGTAAGTACATACAATTTACATTATTTAAGATGAGGAAATGAGGAAGCGTGTTTGTTTACATTTTAATAGGCGTACCATTGGGTTTATTCATGTTCATTAATGTATTGAATACGATATGAGTTCATGAAATTAGTAGAGATTTTTAAATTGTAAATAGACATCATCTGATTAAAAAAGATCTGTTTAGTAACTTTTTAATTTAATATTTTTCATTGATACAAATAAATTAGTGAAATGAATAAAACTCATTTATTTTCTCTGTAGGTTTCCAAATAATATTGACGATCGAACTATTTGGGTAGCAAATTTAGGATAAAACATAAAGATTTTTTATTGTAGCATTATTTTGATACCTATTAAAAAGTTAACGTGAATTGAACTATATTTAATTGTATTAATTTTAAAGCAAATAAAATTATATTTTAATTTTTCTATAAAGAGTTGATTTGTTGATAGTTAAACTCTCGTTTTTTTTTTAATTCTTTGAACGTGTTTTTATACATTATTACTACTTCCAATTTTTAAAATCTGAATAATTACCCGCGAGTAAAAATTCAAGCATGCTTATGCTCATTGCAGAAGCATCACATTCTATCGAAGCTTCAAAACATTGTGTGTTAAAGGTATCTTATTGCTGTGTCCATCTATGTTTATACGTCCATGGCGTTAATAGTATAAACGTCCCGCCATTATTTCTTGTTCAAAATAATCTATCTTATATTATGATAATGCTCTAAGCTTATCAGCTTTCTACAGACTATTTATTTGTTTTGGCATATCACAATACACAACAATAATTAGTTTTTAAAGCCATTAATCTAAATTTAATATGTATTTATATTTAATATGTTGTATATTATATTATGATCAAATTGTGTAAGAAATCAAAACAAACAAAATTCCTACTCTAAACAAGCGGCAACACTTTGTACACTTTTGCCACACGCTTAACTGTCAATAAAATTTGAAGTATTTCCGTATCAGTTGTGTACAATTGTCTAATATATTTAATTAAAATTATTATTTTGTGGAATATTAGACTTAAAGAGTTATTTCATAAAAATTTATATTATTAATAATAACAAATGTTTTTGGTTATTTAATCAATATAATTCTAAAATTTCCAATATAATGATGATTACATTTTTCTGATTATTACGCCATGTTGACGCCTACGAAAGATCGAGCAGTTCCGTATGGGTTTCGTATTATTAGCTTTGTTGGGAAAATCTGAACTCTAAGGTTAATTTTCTGGAAATTTTAAATACAAGTGACGTCACTTTGTATAATTCGTGACGTGCAAGAGTTTTACTTTGAAAAATGATATATATCCCTTTCAGGTCTGAGTTTTTTTTTTTTGAAATTAGGATTTTTGACTACTGAACGTCTTTATTTATTGTATAAGGTACTCTAAACAATTATTTTAAAAATCCCCCTCGGCCTCCTTAGCGTGGGGGGATCCTGCTCGATCGTGATGTTCAGACTTAAACTGCTTTAGTGCAAGGTTTCTAATCTAAAATGCTACACGACAAATATTTTTCATAGAAAACATTTATATATATATATACAGGGTGAGTCATGAGGAACTTTACATACTTCTACCATATGTAGAGTCCCTCAGGGAGCATATCATGTGGCCACTAAAAAATGTCAACTCCTCTTCTTTATTAATTAACAGGGTGATTTGTGTAATTGACCATTTATTTCATTTTACTGTAGTGTTTATACGGCTAATTTGATTTTTTTAATTTTTGCATGATACAGTACACTACTATCAAGCATTCGACTGGTATTAGCTAAACTAAAAAATTCCAGGACTGGCTTTGGAAAAATTAATTTAGGAATTCGTATTAAATATTACACCCTGTATATATATTTTTTAAAATGCAATAAGTGATTTTGAAACTACATAAATAGCCAATGAAAACGACATATGCGACAATGTTGTCGCACTTTTATTAAATTTTTAGTGAACGATCAAATCTTACCAAAAATAGAACAACCATAATGAAGTATCAAATTATAAGGTAATTAATTTAAACAAATGTTATAAATTTCAAACATTTTAATTAAAATGAGTTCCTACAACATAATCTAATACGTAGAAAATTAACATCTTTACGATAGAATCAATTGTTTTTCAATTTTAAATTTTTACTCATAGATCATATTGGGGCATTATTTTCGATAAATAATAAATTAAATTGATTAAAAAGTCAAACCTCTTGTATGTGTTAGTTTTTGTTGATTGTAAATGATTAAAACTTTATGTTAAATAATAATACATTGTATCAACTGTTCTAAATAAAAATAAATCTAAAAAAGTTTAAAATGAAGGTTGGCGTTGACCGTTTGACGTTTCTTGATATTTTATACTCATTGTCATTATTGTCATTATCAATTGTTATTTATGTGTACAAGAATACATATTTCTTCTGTCATATCTACGTTAAGTACATTGTGTTAGTTTTGGTAGAGCTTTTGTTACTTTCGTTCAAAATGCCACATCAGTTTGTGACCACAGAATATGCAGACATATTATTTGTTTATGTATTCTGTAATGGGAATGGTAGGGCTGCTAGTAGAGAATATCGCAGGAGATTTCCTAATCGTCGATCTCCCAGTCATCCAACATTTGGGTCAGTTTTTAATTATTTGCGAGAAAATGGCACTTTTCCTAGTGGAACAACAGAGCAACATGTAGATGAAGCGCAGGAAGATGACATTGTGGACGCCGTTACTATGAACCCTACAATAAGCACTAGACAAGTAAGTCGAGAACTCAATGTTACTCAATCAAAAATAAGTAGAGTCTTACAAAAAAAATAATCTATACCCATATCACATTCAAATGGTTCAGCGACTACATGCTGGGATGAGATCGATAGGTTGGAATTTTGTAGATGGATTAACAATAATCGACCAACGCTATACAGGACACTATTTACAGATGAAGCCCAATTTACCAGAGACGGGATAAATAATTCACGAAATTCACATGTGTGGGCAGAAGAAAATCCCCATGCTATTCGAGAACGTCGTTCTCAGTTAAGGTTTTCGGTTAACGTGTGGATTGGTGTCATAAATAACCAATTAGTAGGTCCTCACTTTTTTGATGGTCCTTTAACAGGGCAGGTCTATTTGAACTTTCTACAAAATATTTTGCCGAATTTGCTTGCCAACGCGAACGTTGCTATCCGAGGGACGTATTTTCAGCATGATGGGCACCCCCACACTTTTTACTGGCAGTGAGACAACATCTCAATAATGTTTATGGCAACAGGTGGATAGGACGTGCAGGTCCTATTTCGTGGTCTTCAAGATCCCCTGATTTCAATCCCGTTGATTACCATATTTGCGACGATTGAAGCAACTAGTTTACACAGTGAATATTAATAACCGACAACAATTAATTGATCGAATTATACATTGTTGTAATACTATTATATGCAGACATAAACAAATAATATGTCTGCATATTCTGGGGTCGCAAACTGATGTGGCATTTTGAACGAAAGTAACAAAAGCTCTACCAAAACTAACACAATGTACTTAACGTAGATATGACAGAAGAAATATGTATTCTTGTACACATAAATAACAATTGATAATGACAATAATGACAATGAGTATAAAATATCAAGAAACGTCAAACGGCCAACGCCAACCTTCATTTTAACCTTTTTTAGATTTATTTTTATTTAGTACAGTTGATGCAATGTATTATTATTTAACATAAAGTTTTAATCATTTACAATCAACAAAAACTAACACATACAAGAGGTTTGACTTTTTAATCAATTTAATTTATTATTTATCGAAAATAATGCCCCAACATTTGTTTAAATTAATTACCTTATAATTTGATACTTCGTTATAATTGTTCTATTTTTGGGAAGATTTGATCGTTCACTAAAAATTTAATAAAAGTGCGACAACATTGTCGCATATGTCGTTTTCATTGGCTATTTATGTAGTTTGAAAATCACTTAATGCATTTTAAAAAATATATATACAGGGTGTAATATTTAATACGAATACCTAAATTAGTTTTTCCAAAGCCAGTCCTGGAATTTTTTAGTTTAGCTAATACCAGTCGAATGCTTGATAGTAGTGTACTGTATCATGCAAAAATTAAAAAAATCAAATGAGCCGTATAAACACTACAGTATAATAAAATAAATGGTCAATTACACAAATCACCCTGTTAATTAATAAAGAAGAGGAGTTGAAATTTTTTAGTGGCCTCATGATATGCTCCCTGAGGGACTCTACATATGGTAGAAGTATGTAAAGTTCCTCATGACTCACCCTGTATATATATATATATATATATATATATATATATATATATATATATATATATATATGTATATATATATATATATATATATATATATATATATATATATATATATGTATATATATATATATTATATATATATATATATATATATACCATATAAAAATAGATAACACCATAGGTCTCCGCTCCAGCCCTATTTCCGTAAGCAAAATTTTTTGAGTGTCGTCAAATTGTAAAAATCAAAGGATCTTATTAAGAAACTACAATAAATAATGTATTTTATTAAACTTAAAATTATAATTTAGTTTTTAAATGTTACAAGCAAGTTTTGTATTGAAAATCAAGTCGCCTGTCTTTTTTTAGATAAACTCTTCAATAACCAATTCATTAAAATTTGGAATTTCTTGAATCATTTTTTTTTTCAATTGATAACATGGCGAGTGCAGTTAGTCGATCCTGGCCCATAGTACTTCTAAGGAAAATTTTGATACGTTTCAATGAAGAGAAACATCGTTCTGCTATTGTCATTGACATCGTAACAAGTATACTTGAAGAATTAAATTAATTTCAGAAAAATTTCTTGCAAATTATTTTCAATCAAAAATTTAAGTCAGTGAACTGCTCCGGAAAGTTCTTTAAAATAGGATCTTCTATAAACAATTTCCAATTCAGTCCTTAATTTGTTTTTATTTAAAAAGGGATAATTGTTAATTGCTGATTCCATAATGTCAATGTAGGAAAATTTGAGCTGTATATTTCAAAATTGTCCACTGAAAATAATTTTGCTATTTCCAAATGTCCTGTAAACAAAAACCTTCTTTTAATTTCAGATAGTATATTATCGCAAACTTCCTTAGCTTGAATAATTGTGGAAAGAATTTCTGTCATCTTTCTTCCGTCTCTTCCTGAATTAACTATCGTCAATGTCTGTTAACTCGGTTTCTCTTATAGTGTGAATATTGTCTCTTTCTTTTTTTGTATTTTTTTTTTAACCTATTCTCTATCCTTCTATTGTTGGATATAGGTCTCCCCCAGTTCTCTCCATCTTTCCCTATCTTGAGCTGTTCTCTGCCATGTGGGACCTCTTTCTTTCATTCTTTTTGTATATTTTCTTCAAATGTAGTCAGGCATCGTTTTACGATTACGGATTTTTGTATTTGTGAATCACATCCCAGACAGCACAAGACATCCCTGGACGTCCATTTTATGTCATTTTAAGGTCCAAACCGTCCCCGGACTTCTTTTGGACGTCCAAGGGATATCTCTAGTCGGACATACCAGGGACGTCCCATAAGGTCGTCCGAGGGACGTCTCATTAGGGATGTTTTCTAGATGTTAACTGTGTCATTTTTTACTTAAGCATATTTTTTACAAAATATAATATCTTCCTACTAAACTTTATTTTAAAAAGTTATATTTAGTTTTAAATACCATTAATTTAAACGAAAACACACAGAGGCCCCTTTTAGAGAAAAATCCTTATCCTATAGCAGGAGCTGTATCTCTAAAATTTTGTTCTGTAGTGGAACGTGGAACTGAAATTAGAAGATGAAAGAAGAATGTGGTTATGTTTTAACGACGCTTCTATTTATCTCCTTGCATTTATGTTTCTTTTTAACGCATTTTTATTTTTAGGAAATCGGAATATATTATTTTTCGAATTATAATCAGTGTGGCTGTAATTAGAATTAGTTTATTGCTTTCGAGCGTATTATTGCTTGTCGGTCAGATAGCTCAGCGGGCTGTGCGGCTGCCTCTCATTCGTTTCACTGTCGAATGGTTCAGTGGATGTGGGATCGAGCCCCAGCTCGGTGTACAGAAAACAAAAAGTCTAACGCAGGAGTTTAAAATTCTAGATGAATCTGAGGCTTAGACTAGGATATGCTGGGATCTGATCGGCCTATGGTGGAGCAGTACGGCAAGAGATAAGGACTTGCGGCTCGGTGATACTCCTCCATAGATCCCTACCGGACGGGCGTAACGCCTAAAAAAAACCGGATATATATATTATTGCTTTCGATACTAGTTTATAGTTTGGTAATTTATTATTATAGACATTAAGTAGGTAAGGAATTTTATAGGTAATTTTTGTGGTTGTGGTGTGAGCTGCTACATTTGTAAAGTAAGTATGAGTAATGTACTTAAAAATAAATAAAAATCCCATTTATTTTTGTTTTTCATTTTATTAGTTTTTTGTAAGTTCCCTTTAGGTCCTGTATACATTCTCATTTAGGTCCTGTATTAGTCCATGTGGACGTACAATGAATGTCCCCAATATATCCTTCTTAGGTCCTCTATAAGTCCGTATTAAGTTCTGTATATGTACGTACCCATGAACATCCCTGGGACGTCCAGGGGATGTACTTTTTGGTAACATTTAGGTCTTATTGGACTGATGTCCGGACATTTGGTACATCCTTCTGACGCCCATGGGACGTACTTGATGCGTACTTGTGTTGTCTGGGGCATAGACTCGAAGTGAGAAATTTGTGACACGCTACGACAGAACTGTAATTTAAATTTTTAGAGATTAATAATTACGTACATTTGAAATAATTTAATCTATTCTTCAACAAAGTACGAATAAAATAGTGCATACTATGTCTAAAGTTGCCGAAAATAAATTAAACCGGGTTAATTTTTTATGCATACTAGATAAAATGTCACTGAACAGCACTGGTTCCGTTTAAAACATGGCTGATTCCATCTGTGCGTATTTACCAGAGATATGTAAGGTATTTACTTATTTTTTCAAGCAGAGTGGGCATTCTGATTGTTTATTATTCTACCATTACCATTAATCCGTCAGCGATGTTTTTTATTTTCACATTTGTAATGTTTTCATTTATTAAATATGTAATATGCATATCTATTATTTTATTTTATTTTTATTCTATCGTAATATCCATACAAACGGTAGAACATGCAATGCTAATATTTTTTTTTCTAATCGATAATGTTAAAAAATCGATTCATAAGAGCAAATATATGAGATAATGGTTGTCAGCACTGAAACACAAAATAAAATATATTATGAAAACGTTGGTACGCCATATAGTGAGCCGCCATCTTTAATACTAATTGATTAATAGCCTCAGCGCTCGGCGGTTGAAACATAAATTAGTAATTATTAAATAAATATTGGATTACCGATATAAAACATTATTTTCACAATTATTAGTGCTCTAAATTTGGTGTCTACAATTAAATAATTGATACCGCATTTCTAGTTCACCGGTTTTTTAAAAATGGAGGAGACAGAAGGAACTACTGGTAAGCGTTTTATTTTATGAGTATGTTTACAAAAATTGAACATATAACTAATGCCTTTATGTATTTATATTTCTATTACAGTAATAAGTATTGGTATTATATATTGGGTAACAAGTGATTACCCAATGGATTACACCAAGAAAGCATATCTTGTTTGAATTTTGTAGCCATCATTTCCCTACAGCTCCATGTAGCAGCAGGAGGACCCACTAGATAGTTTTAACAGCAACAGCGAAATATGGACAGTTAGGTCATGTCTAAGTATCAGAGGATGTGTATAACATTTAAGGTTAGATTGTCATACATGGGGTAATATCAAATTTTGTTAAAACTTTAACTTTCCAATAGGAAGTTAAATTTTGGTGAACTCACGCCTTCCCGGTTTATAATTCGTGTTCGTGAGATATTCAGTTTCAGGACATCTAGCAAGATCAAAGCAGAACAACCCCCCTAGAAAAATCCTTATGTACAACCCGTGGGAAGTAGAAATAGGGGTAGGCCAAAACTCAGATGGAAGGATGGTGTAGATGAGGATGGTAGAAAGATAGGTGCAGCAAACTGGCAACGGTTGGCAATGGATAGGACTTCCTGGAGTAATAGACTTGGGAAGGTCGAGGCTCTTTCATAGGGCTGTAGCACCATTGATGATGATGATGAGATCTTCAGTTTTAAAATTTCACAGTTAAATGTCTTACCAACTATAGTTCTGAGAGGGTGCTACATTTATTGGACTTATGGTCAAATTAGGAGAGTTAGACTATAATTAAAATATGATATTTAAAAGTTAATTTAGAATTAAAATTTATATCCAAATCTTTAATATTATTGTTCCTCATAGTATGATTTCTTCTATCTCACAGCCAGCAATAAGGGTATCTGCCCACTTCAGTAATTCAGATCTGATTTCATATCCACCATGAGTAGTTCATCACAACTTTTGTCTATATCAGACTCCATTTTCTTTATCAAAACTCAAAGCATCTCTAATTATATGCTCTTCATTTAAAACATAACATTATTATAGTGTATTATTTGATTCTGAAATAAAACAAGGCTTATAATATTGGTTGTAAAATATTTAATAATATTGTTTGTGTAAGGTTAACTGCTTGTCTAACCTGTTAAATGTAGTAGAAGAATTTGCAGAACTTTTCAGTAGTTCAAGAATCTTTCTCCCGCAAGAATTGTTCTTAATTATTCTTATTATTAGTAACAATTGTTTACACATCACAAATGACAACAGTACTATTATTAGATCACTAACAGTCTACCTGTCATCATAGAAATATGCAACACTATGTGTGCAGTGGTAATTCTTGGTGTTCTTTTAAAGGTCACTGTCTCCATTAGCAAATGGTTTAGAACCTAGTGCTCTATTTCTTTAAATAAAGTGATATTGAATATTAGTGTGTAAAAACGTCAAAATTGAAAAAAATGGACATAGTGTTCTATGCCTCCAAGGTACAGAGTTGAACATAAGGGTCAGGTTGACTCTATCTACACAGACTTCTCTAAAGTTAGATAAGTCTGTTTAGATAGAGTCTTCGACATATTTAACCATGATCCCCTTATTGCTAAATTACAAGGCTGTGGATTTGGAGGTAAAATATGGAAATTGTTATGTCAGCGAGTATCTGTGACCCCAGGAGTTCCTCAGGGGCTCATATTCCATCCATCCAATGGCACTACAGCCCAAGCTGGGCCTTGGCCTCCTTTATTAAACCTCTCCAAACATCTCTATTTACTGCTGTTCTTTTCCATGAACGCGTTTTTAGGAGATTTTTGGCATCCTCATCTACCTTGTCTTCCCATCTCTTTTTTGGTCTTCCAACAGGTCTTTTTCCTTGCATTCTTGCGTTTAGTAATTTTCTGGGGATTCTGTTCTCATGCATGCGGGCCACATGCCCTGCCCATCGTAATCTCTGCAGTCTAGTGTATTGTGCTAGTGTTGGTTCAGTGTATTGTTCGTATATTTCGTTATTATATCTAATTCGCCAGTTGTTATTTTCCTTTATTGGACCCAGTATTCTACGCAATATTTTTCTTTCGAACACGTCTAATGCATTGGTAGATTTCTGTGTTATAACCCATGTGGATATGTGGCCCATCGCGAAATAGGCTTTGTTTGCCAGCATAAGCCTATTTATTTCCGGTTCTTCTTCATTATTTTCGACCAGATCCATTCCTAAATACGTGAATCTATTCACTTATTCTATATCGTCTATAAATTGTTGTTGTTGCGCCTGTCTATTTGATCTGGTTTGTATGAGTAGTTTTGTTTTATTTGTATTTATTGTTAGCCCTACAACTTCTGAACTCTGTTTCAACTGAACGTAGGTTTCTTCTGCCGCAGTCTTTGTCCTGCTCATTATGTTTATGTCATCTGCGTATGCTGCTAATTGGGTAGATTTGTTTGTAAGTATGTTATTTCTGCTCACCGTCAACCGTCTAATTACATATTCAAGAACAAGATTAAAAAGTGTTGGAGCCAGTCCGTCACCTTGTTTCAGTCCTTGCGTTGTCATAAACGCATCAGTGATCTGTCCTTGAATACATACATGTGCTTCTGTTTCTGTCATTGTCATTTTCACTAGTCTTATTAATTTTGATGGTATGCCAAATTCTTGTAATATATTAGGTAGTATTGTTCTATCTATTGAATCATAGGCTTGCTTGAAATCTACAAAGAGATTGTAGATGTCTATGTCATATTCCCATGCTTTGGCTAGTATTTGTTTAACTGTAAATAGTTGGTCAATAGTAGATCTATTTTGCCTGAACCCTGCTTGATATTCCCCGATATTTTTTTCAGTGAGGGGTTGAAGTCTTCGATTAAGAATGTTTGTATTTTGTATCCCGAACAAAGTAAAGAGATGCCTCTATAATTCTGGCATAACAGTTTGTCTCCTTTTTTATGAATAGGGCAGATTATACTTTTCTTCCATTGTTGTGGGATTTTTTCTTCTCTCCATATTTCTTGTATAAGCTGGTACATCTGTTCTGTCAAATTTGTTCCTCCCTGCTTGAACAGTTCTGCCGGTATTATCTATTCCCGGCGCTTTATGGCTTTTTTGCATTTGGATTGCTTTTCGAACCTCCTCTAGCGTTGGAGGTCTAGCCAATTCAGGGGCTCATATTGGTCCTATTTTATTTAATATATTTATTGATGATATATATCATCAGTCATTAAAAGTAGTAACATTCTAATGTTTGCTGACAACCTTAAAAAATTTCGAATAGTTAATAACCTAGTTGATGCTTCTTTGTTACAAAATGATCTAGTTGGTGTGACGTAAATATGCTATACTTAGATATAAACAAATGTTTTAAAATTATTTTTGGTAGATCAAGGGAGTTGGTAAATTATTGTTATTGTATAAATAGTGTACCTTTAGAGGCACATAATAATATCACAGATTTGAATATACACTTTGATTCTAAATTAACTTTTAAATACAGTAGAACCTGCTTAATCAGAACTTCGTTAATTCCAAATCTTCTTTAATTCGAATTTTTATTCTGGTCCCTAGCATTTCCTTTATAAGTAATGTTAAAAAGTCGTGGATAATTCAAATTATATTTTGGATAATGCGAACTTTTCTATAAGTTAAAAATGCCAATTTCATGCTGGAAATTTCCGCTAAAAGAGGTAGTATTCTTTTCTTTTCTAAAGTGCCACTTGTTTCAAAGCCATTGTACATTGTACCCGTACGTGTCACCTCAATTCTAGCCCATCTGGCAAGCCCCTTCAGTTGAGATGCGTTGGCGTTGCAATTGCAATTACCGCAAATCACGTCAAGTCACTTCGTATTGAGTAAAGATGTCGTTGCATGGTAATAAGAAAACATACAAAACTTTAACGTTACCGGAAAAAAATAGCGGCAATTAGAGAAGTAGAAAAGGGGATGAAGAAAAAATCTAAGATTGCCAGGGACTTTGGAATTCCTCCTAACACATTATCCATCTACTTGAAGAATAAAGAAAAAATTCTCAAGAGTGAAAGTGAATGCGGTAAAGATTGAAAAAGGTTAAGGGAGCCAGAAAATCCAAATTTAGATAGTTGTGTGTTAAAATGGTTCAAACAAGCTAGGATAAGAAGATTCCCGTGAGTGGTCCCCTTATAAGAAGCAAAGCTGAACAATTTGCTATTAAAATGGGGAAAAACAATTTTAAGGCGAGTACAGGGTGGCTCGACGGCTTTAAAGAACGCAACAAAATTTCTTTCAAATCCATTTGTGGAGAAAGTGGGACCGTTAATCAGCAAGAAGCCAACCAGTGGAAACAAAATTTGGAAGAGATGATTCAGGGTATAGATGAAAGAGATATCTTTAACGTTGACGAGACGGGTCTCTTTATTAAATGCACTCCTGACAAAACGCTAGTAAAAATGAAAAATGTCACATAGGAAAACTAAGTAAAGAAAGAGTAACTCTCCTAATTGGTGCAAACATGGACGGATCAGAAAGACTGCCTCTACTGATGATTGGCAAGTCAGCTAATCCGCGTTGTTTTAAGAATGTCAAGTCAAAACCAGTGGAATATGTGAGCAGCGCATGAGCTTGGATGACTAGTGATCTTTGCGAGAACTGGCTGAAAAAATTAGACAAAAAGTTCATAAAAGAAAAAAGAAAAGTTATTTTGTTTATTGGCAATTGTACGGCACACACCACTATCCCACTGATGGAAAATGTAAAAGTTATTTTTTTTTCTTGCTAACATGACTTCAGTTCTCCAGCCTATGGACCAGGGTGTCATAAAAAATTTTTACAGACGTTTTTTGGTTGAAAACATATTGGTGGAAGATTGCGACACCCTTAAAATAAAGTTAGACACTCTACAAGCATCTCGAATGTGTAAGAAAGCTTGGGACCAAGTAACACCTGAAACGATCAAATACTGTTTCAAAAGAGCTGGTTTCATAAAAAAGGAGGAGAACACAGACGACAATTTAACAGAAGAGCTGCTTTCAGTTGACTGCTGGGGGGATCATTTCTGATCCTGTTATCTCTTATGAAGATTTTTTCAACGTGGATGAAGATGTTGCAGTATGTGGTGAAATAACTGATACAGAGATTATCGCTGAAGTGCTTAAGGACAATGAAGAAAAACAAGGAGTGATGAAGACAACGCATCATCAGTTGCGGGAGAAATACATGTTCCGAGTGCAGCCGAGGCAACACACTATATTACGCAACTTAAACGGTAGTTTGAAAGTAAAAATGATGTAAGTCACTCTATTTTTAGTTCACCGAACATCTTAGAATCGTTTGTCATTACCGAGACGTTAAATTCTAAAAAGCAGCTAAAAATTTTGGATTTCTTTAGAAAAAATTAGTCTATTTTCATCAATTGTAACAAATATGTATTCTTATTTTCAATAAATTTTTTGAGACAAAATGTTTTATTTTTTTAATGATGCGTTCTCACTGGGAATTTTTTATCTGCCGATTGTTTCGGCTAAGATTTGGCCAAAAATACCAATGAGAAAACCTGCAAATGAATAAAATCGACAATAATTGACCATTTGTTATAGCTTGCAAATGCTTTAATTGGTATTCTGGCCTAATTTTGTTGGCCCATTTTTTTCAGTTGACAAAATTCGGGCAAAAATAGTAACGAAAACATCTGCAAGCGATAAAAATGGTCAACTATTGTTGTATATGTTTTTGTAGGCATCTTTGTTTTTTGTGAATATATTTTTAATTCGAATTTTTGGATAATTCTGAAAATGATAAAATATTTCGATATCTCTGCAGAAAACATCTCCAAGCGATAAAAATGGTCAACTATTGTTGATTTTTATCGTTTGCAGATGTTTTTGTAGGCATCTTTGTTTTTTGTGGATATATTTTTAATTCGAATTTTTTTAACAGTCCCTTGAGGTTCGAATTATCCAAGTTTCACTGTATCATATTAATAAAACTTCAACTAACTATAGTTTTCAGTACGAACTTTAAAAATGTTATACTTTAGTTTAGTTCGATCAGTTTTGGAATATGGTTCTCTCATTTGAGTGGCTCAGTTCCATACTTGCCTAACCCACAATTTTTCGTATTTCACGCTTTTGTGTTCTTTCGCTTTAAAATGATTATATCTGTCTGTGCCAAAGTTACCTATCCCGATATTTAACATAAAACAAGACTGACTCCTATGATCAACTTTAGCAAACAAAACTTGCTTTAACATAGTTTGAGCCAGTCTTGCCTAAACCACTAAATATGGCTTCAGCAAACAACCAGATATTTACATTATCAGACATATCAAGTGACGATAGCGATAACGACAAAAACTAATAACAATAACTGAAATAAATAAAGATAATAACAAAAACTGCAGAGTCCTTCTAGTGAGGAGCTCTACGGCTACCCGCTAAGGATAAAACCTGTACTGACTCGAGATCCGAAAATGTCCCATATTTAAAGATATTTTAACTTTTATATGAAACTTTTTCATTTCTCATCCAATAGAATTTAATTAAAAGTTTCAGAAGGAAGGACGATGCACATCGAGGTGCGTGATTGGTGGCACCTGATGACATCCCCCCCGCTTTTGAGACTCTGAGGCCGATAAAAAAGCTGATTTTATTAACAACTTAAGAAAAACAAATTTTTTTACAAATAATTCAGGTTTTGTGAGTTTTGCCTCATACTTGATCTTTTGAGTCAACCAGGGAATAATTTCCATTCTAGTTGAACTAGTGGAAGGTTGCTTTTCTAAAAGCACACTGTGGTATGGAGCATTATCCATTACAATTAATGATGGCTCTTCTAAATTGAGAATTAATTTTTCACTTATCCATTTAGTGAAAATTTTATTGTTCATTTCCCCATGATAATCAGCTACTTTAGATTTTGAGCAAAATAATAAACTTGCTTCAGTAACAAATCCTTTCGAAGAACCAGCGTGAACAATTATAAATCGTTTACCATTATACACTTGTGGTTTAAGTACATGTCTTGCCAGGAAATTTCCCTTTGAATAAATCCACGTTTCGTCCAAAAAAACAAGGTCTCTGGGATACACAGTATTAATATTTTCCATATATTTATGAAGGAACTTGGCTCTTAAAGCAGCAATACTGGTGCGCTCAATTAATGCTCTTCGATTATTGTCCTTCTCATATTTAAATCCCAATTCTTTTAACAAAATGCTAACAGATGTTTTGCCAATAAATGCAACTTCTTTATCCCTTAATTCATTACTGATACTTTGCAGAGTATCTTTCTAAAAAAAAAGAACAGATAAGTACAAAACAAACCACACTGTTATAACTAGTTCAATGCAAAAAAATTAATACTTTGTTTTTATAAAACTATAAATTATTTCAAATTAAAAAACTCAACAAAAATTGACGTAATATCCATTAATATATTCAGCAGAAATTTTCTTAAACTACTCTCAACAATCTTTTTTACAACATACACTTTGTATTGTTGTCATAAGTATTGATTAAAAAGTATCTTCTGGTTATTATGGTACATGATACCATTATCTTATGGTATATCAAATTCAGATTGAAGAAATTGGTAACTACTTACTTTGTTGGTACATGTCGTATACTGTATTACGCACTGCCATTTTTGATCCCTCAGATAGATCAGTTGTTTTGTTTTTCAGACGAGGTCTACTTTTGCCTGGCTGTGAAAGAATGTGATTATTTTCTTTCCTTTTAATAATTGTACATACTGTTCTTCGTGATATTTTTAATGCAGCAGCTACACTCTTAAATAAAGAAGTGTTTAATGATTTTCATAAACGAACATACATTTCAATATGTTACCTGTTGAACAGATGAAACTGGCTTCAAAGGCTTTTCAAATTCACTTTCAAATTTACTTTTTCTAATTCGAAATACTCCAACACATTCAACACAAGTTGTTGAGCTTGTGAAGTCAAAGGCTTGCCTGGCATACTCTAAAAATAAAAACCTTTAAAAATATTTCATATTGTCCGTTGACATAGTTTTAGCTATATTTAAATGATTAATGTCAACTTAGAGGTTAAAAAAATATATTATTAGATATTAGCTAATACATAAATTGAACACGAAGGTAAGGGTTAGTCGTTATAACAACTGTTTGTTCAAAAATATGTATATTTAAAGTATAAAAAAGGACTGATTATTTAAATCAAACGAAAATAATTTATAAAAATATTACAAACTCTGTCAAAACAAAATTTCCAATTGTCAGTAGACGAATCAATCAGCGATCATTGTTCTATGGCTCTCTTTGTTCAATGCATGGTGTTGTGTATGGACAGGCGGTTTAAGTTAATAGTTTTAGTTTCTGTGAGTAGGAAAGAGACGTAGCATAAAAAATATATCGTGAATAATGTTATGCATATGCAAAGATCCGGCGGACCGACTGTATCTCATTCCCATGTGTATAGAAAGATGATAAAATATTCATGATTTTACATTATCTATGTTTATAATAAAATATTAAATTTCTCTTAGGAATGTGTTATTTATTTTTCAGCTAAAATTCATACATATGACTAATTGGAAAAAATGTGTCCTGATTGTGCTGAAATAAATAAAATAAAATAAACATTTTGCTAAAATTCTTTGCAAAATACAGTGGTATGGGACGGTTTACGCATGTATAATATTAACAGGACGTTTTTAATTTTTTTTTATATTTGACCGGATTTTTGGTCCCTTATACCTATCCAAAATCCGTTATGTCGAAGTTTTACTGTAATAAGCAAACAGAAGTATTTTCCTAAGCCTAAAACAGCTACCAACATCAAATTTAAATAAATTTTTGTTAAATAAATTTAGCAACAATAGTAGTAAAAACCTTTTAAGACGCCCTTAGTGTCATTATTTTATAATTTACTAAAAAAAATCGCTAATACTAATAAATCGGTATTTTAAAATAATTTACTATTAAGATTAAGGCTTATTTGTTATCATAATAACAATAATAATAATTTATTTAATTGCAGTCAGGAAAACTCGCTCTAGTGCGGCAAAATCAACGCCTGTTGTTACCAAAAAAGAAAAACCGGGACCATTATCAAGAAAAACACGTAAGAAGGTTGTTCTTATGGAAGTAGAAGTTTCTGATGAAGAAGTAGATGAAACTGTTCAAGAGCCTGTAACAGAAAAAATGGAAACTACTGAAGAAAACAAGCAGAGCGAAAAGCAGATTGACACTGAAAAAGTTAATGGTAAAGAAAACAAACCCACGCCAATAGAAGATCAAGTGGTAAGATATATTTAATTTGGAAAATTGTTTAGGAATAACAAGAAACCTTCTTATATTAAGCTTTAGACCTGTTCTTGTCCGATCTTAAGGTCGTATTTAGTCGTATTTGTGACGTCGACAAGTTATATTATGGTACACCGTAAGGTTACTACATCGTCTCCATTTTTCACGTCACGCTAAATAGGATTTCGCGGTCGTGCAAAACATCATACCGAGCGATAAGAAGTATTCACTTCCAAAGTATTTAAAATGGCCTCCTCCTTCTTGCATACAAGCTCTACATCGCTTCAACAATGGATGCCGAATATTTTGAAAAATCAAATGTCGAAAGGCATTAGCAGCTTTTAAAATATGTTTCCTTAATTGTTCTCTTAGTTATGTCCTCGGAATAAATATAATCTTTTGTAAACCCCAAAAACAAAAATCCATTGGATTAAGATCAGGAACGCGCGATACACATTTAATTGGTGCATCGGGTCCTTTCCTATTCAATATGCTGGGTATTGTTGAAATAAAAATGCACTAACCTTGTCGCTATATGTGGAGCACCATTCTGCAAAAACCACATACTTTGCCTGTTTCATGTTTTATCTTTTATGCTTTTATGAGTATTCGGGTTGGTCTTTTGCAACGTTGGAGAGGTCATTAACTAAAGTTTCATATGCTGCAAGACTCCATTTTTGAAAGGTACTTGGCAATATGTTTTCCTTTTTTAGTATGTGATTCTGATCTTTCAGTTTTTTATACCAGTTGAGCCTGTTTGATGACTCTGTGAGAGAGTTTATACCCTTTTCCCCTTCTCTTCACTGCTACTACTATCTGTTCCAATTCTATCGGATAATTTAGTTTATATTCAAGAGTCACGCGATGAGCTAGTGACATATTTCGTCAGCCCAGCAACAGGCATTAAGTCTGCTTACAACGGGCTATCGCCAAGTACTCCATGGGAACCGTTCGTGGCCACGTATAGTATCGTCATTCAGTCCTTAGCACGCTTTCTCAGACCTTGACTTTGCATTGTGCGTCACTGGCAGAATTGCCATTTTAATACCATTTTTCAATAATTCCTCAATACTTTCAAGTTAATAATGCAATTTATTTATATTGATGTATTTTTTTATGGGATAGCATGTTTATAGTTGATAATTAAATTCAATTAACAATTAACCTCACTAACAGATTACCACTAATACAAAAAACGGGATGTGGCTCTCCCATTATTTTATTTTATTTTTTATTTATCTTTATTTTTTATTTAATTTTGTTTTATTTTTATGACGATGCGAAATATGCCCTCTTAGCCTTTGATTTTTGTCCATGTCAAAATATATCGAATTTTTACTGACATGTTAATACAAATTTTATTTAAAAAATTGATTCATTATGATTGATTAGAAGTCATTATTAAAAGGGATGCGGCAACGTTCAAACTGTCTAACGCTTACTGATAATGTTCTTCAAATATCTACTCAATATCCCTCGACTGCCCGCAGGTTCTGTCAGTTGGCCCGTAGGGATATTGTAATTTCTGGTGTGTCTGTCGAGAGACTTATTTTGTAGCACTGAGATCTCCATCTGCAATAGCGAAGATATTCGATGAAAATCATCAGTGAGCGATTGATAGATGTCGCGAAAAAAATTCCATGCCATGGACTATAAAATCCGAAGATACCATCTGCCGCGAAAGTGTTAGCATATTTTATGTCCCTTAATGATGATTTTTTTTAAGTATAATTTTTTTTTTTCGCCTGTTAAAATTTGTTTTGTTTACAAAAGTGGTGGTTTGAAAATTTGTGTAATTCAAATTATACACCGTACCTATAACTGGTTCCCGGCCCATTAAAACCTGACGTGGAATTCATATTTATTGTTTACTAAGTTTTAACCACTTTTTGTAATTTGTTAATATTTCTTTGTTTTTGTGGGTAACTTTTTTGTTAATTTCATATACTAGCCCTTCGAATTAAAAGTAGTAGCAAATTATACCGGTAAATATTAATAGGCTATTTTGAAAACTATTTCTAAATTTACTTTATGAGCAGTACATCAAATTACACAAAATTGGCCAAAGATGGGATTTTAATAAATTTCTATTTCGTTCACTGAGTGTTGTATTTTATGTAAGTTTATTTTTTTTTTAATTAAAATATCAATTTCCATACAATCCTACCAAATTTGTTGGTAGCGTTAAACACGTTTACAATAAAATAAATATATTTAGTTTTCAAAATTATATTTACTAGGTACTTGTACCAGTTACTAAGTTGTCATGAAAGCTTATTTGTTTATGAAAAATGGTATTGTTAATTTTTTTAAGTCATTTATTTTGTTGGTTTTGCCGAATAAGGCCTCTTAAAGTTCTCTGAATTCGTCTCTATTCAGTCTTCCTCGTCGTCTTTTTATTTCAAAGTCGTCAATTGTCTATTTCCTTATTTCATCTAGTCAATTGCCTATTTCCTTACTTCATCTACCATTCTAAAGACATTCGTTGTGTCCAGTCCATTTCCAGTTTAATTTGGCATATTCGTCTAATATGCCTGTTTGGCAACGTCTTTTATTTTTGCTGATTTCTGAATTACTTCACTAGTTTTGTGATCTTTGAGTGAAATACCTGTATAGTTAGAGAGTGTTATCTTCTCCAAGTGTGCTGTGATAAATATCCAGCTCTGAGCTCCATATGCGAGGAAAGGAAGAATACAAAAGCTGAAGATTTTGATTTTAAGTCTTACAGTTATATTTTAATCTGATATAATGTATGAAAGTTTTCCGAAGGTACACTATTCCATTCTTACTCCTCTGCTTATTTTGATAGGTTGGTTTTTTTTTTGTTCACTCAACAATTTGATCTAGTGTATATATTTTTCTATGTGCTGCTCCTAATTTGTTCCTTGAATGGTTATTATCGGTTTTCATCTCTATTCCACATCAACTTTGCGTTGCTTGAGTTTTTCAGTGCTTTTTTGAGAGATTCTGAGATTCTGGTTGTTTCCAGGTACAGATTATCAGTACTGTATCATCTGCGTATCTAAATGGTTCAAATATCTTTCATTAATCAAGATCCCCTTATTTTCCTACTCAAGTGACTTAAATATGTCCCAGTAGATGTCTAATTTTGGGGATATTATTGTGTCTCCTTATTTTATGCCTCAGTTGATATTTATTAGTCTTTTTTCTATTCCGTTATCCATCAGCACCATTTCTTGTATATGATTGACTAATCATTAATCATATCTAAAAAAATCCATCCATCCATCCAACCCATTGACTCTACAGCCCAAAAGTCCTGTATTCCGTCAGCTAACCTGACGGAGGACAGGTTAGTGTGTAATGTTATTTTAATGTCAATTTTATTTATGTGTGAAATCTTTTAATTTCTGTAAGTATTGTAAATCTAAGTGCACGTCAGTTTTTTGAAATGTTTGTTTTTTAAAGTTACTCCTGATGAAGCTATTAAATAAATGACTAAATATTGAGCTTTAGAAAAAACAAAGAATTTTATTATATAGACCACATACCCGATATTTCCAACATATTATATATATATATATAATATATATATATATATATATATATATATATATATATATATATATATTTTAAAATTAATACTGTCATTCATTTAATAGTTGGTGGGCTTTCATTCTGTATATGAGGAATATTACAAATATTGGTTAATTTTATCTTATTTTTAGATATTAAATGATGTGACAGTTGTCTGTGAGATGCAGACAGAAAGTAAGAAAACAGAAGATACAGAAAAAATGGAAGTTGATGAAGATCTTGAAATAAAAAAAACAGAAGATAATGTAAGTGCTCAACCAACTGAAGAAAGTAAGGTAGAATCGTTAGAAAAATTGGACACGAAACGCAATGTTTGCGAACTAAAAGAGGAAGAACCAGCCGAAAAGAAAATAAAACTTGAAGAAAAACCTGCTGATACAGACAGTAATAAAAAAGAGGTTGATAGAGAATCAGAAAATAATGTCATCGATACTAATAAGGAAGAGGTAAAAATTGAAAGCGAAAAAAATGAGAAAGAAAATAAAGAAGTTAAGGGAAAAACGGAGGAAGGAACAGAAAAACAAGATGTAGCAAAAGCAGAAGAAGATACAGATAAAACTACAAAAGTAGAAGAAAAAGAGAAAGACAAAGGCGAAATAAAAGTTGAAGACAAAGTCGAAAAGAAAATGACAAAAGTAGAAGAAAAAAAGGAAACCCAAGAGGAAAAAAAAGGTAAAGAAAATAAAGTCGAAGAGAAAATTACAAAAGTAGAAGAAAAAAAGGAAGACCAAGAGGAAATAAAAGTCGAAGAAAATAAAGTCAAAGATAGCGCAATAGAAAAAAGCGAAAAGGAATGTGAAGAATCAAAAGAAGAAAAAGAAATTAAAGTTGAAGAAAAAGAGATCAAAGAGATAACTACCGAAGATAAAAGCAAAAAGGAAGATGAAAAATCAGAGGACAAAAACAAAAAGGGAGATGAAGAATCATTAGTTAAAGATGCAGAAAATAAAGATGATTTGACAAAAGTTGAGCAAAAAGAAGCTGGAAGTGTAGAAGGCAAACAAGATACAGAAGAGGAAACACTTGATAAGCAGAAAGCTGATCCAGACACTGAAAATATATCTGAAGATGAGCTTCCTGTTGTTCAGGCCGTAAAAGTACCAGAAGCCGAGGAAGTTTCGGATGAAGAACTACCAGGTAAGGTTTTATTGATAATCTATACAGTCTTTTCTAACAAAAGCAATTTGAGGTTTCTTTATTACTAGGTGGACATTAAAAGTTTTGCGCAAATAATAGAAGGAAAACATATTTTTGGAAAAAATCGGCTTTATTGTTTTATGCCAGCCGAAATAGATATCTAAATCTAAGAAATGTTCATCAATCAGTGTTGGAATAGAGATGGTTGTATACTATTCAGTATTGACAACATGTCCCTTTTTTTCCTAAAACTCGCGACCATTTGTTTGCGATTGCGGGCTACTTTTGTTGGCTGTTGCACATCTTGAAGCACACATACCGTTGATTGGTTTTTCGTTTCGGTCTCATAGCAATATATCCATGTTTCATCACTAGTCACGATGTTCCATGACAAATTCGAGATGCCTTAGATAAATTGATTGGAAGTGACCATCTTTCTCACTGCTAAATGGTCATACAAAATTGTTTGTACATGTCTCATGTATGTGCTCAACGATGCATGAAGTGATGATGATCATGATAAGTAACGTGTCGATCTACTTCAAGCATGCTGTGCAGGGAATCGATATTATCCAGCCCAACATCTGTATATAAAATCATCGCACGAACATTTTCACGAGATATTTCCATTTTTACATATAATACAAAAAACAAATTTCTGTTGCATATTCCAACTTATCAGCTCCGCTTTCGTTCTTAGTAATTTTAGACATTTCTGGATACTTATTTTGATTATCTTCCGCCAATTGAAAAACACATCGAATTACGAGAAATGAGATGCCGATGTTGTACCATATGTAACCGTTTTGAGTTCATATATCTTTAAAACATCATCAGGATGTCCTCTCCATAAGATTCTTACCATAAACAATCTTTCGAGAGAATCCTTACATGGTATTGAAACTATATACCTTCCATTGTTATCTGGTTTCGTAGTATTTTTGAAATGTTCTTCACAATATATATATATATATATATATATATATATATTATATATATATATATATATATATATATAATATATATATATATATATATAATAATATATATATATATATATATATAATAATTATATATTATATATATATATATTATATATATATATATATATATATAATAATATATATATATATATATATATATATATATATATATTTTCAGCAGAATTAGTGATAGAGGTGATAAGTCTTCCACTTCCCTGAATCTCATTAATAAATTTTGGATATTTTTTAGATCTGTATTGTGGACAAAATTGCAGGTAATGGAATTTGTCAATCTCAAGTCAAAATATGTCAATGTTTACTGAAGGTAAACTTCTACTTATTACATCTACTGCGATAAAACATGTGCATGTATAGTGAGTATAAAGAGAATCTAAAGTTGTAGCACATTTAGAATTTATGGTTGATGATACATTATTAAAACCTTTAACAGAAACATTGACCTTAAGAGGCTACATCAGCGCGTCATCAATATTAATTCGAGAAATGGTGGCCGCACCGTCTTTCAAAAGTTCTGCGAATCGTTGGCAACAGTGCGTCGGCAGTACGTGACATTATCAAAGACGAAGGCACAATAGTTGTGATAATTAGAGTTCGGATCGGATTTAAAAGCATAAAGAAACGCACAAAAAGCTTAACGATTTTATGAAAATATTTTATTATTTATTTATTATATAAAAAATCATAAACATAAGCATATAAATTTTAACAAACCTTTTTTACGAAAATTAGTATAAAACATCTTAGCTAAAGAATTAGTAAGTACCTATCATAAATTTAATAATAATATACAGTGTGTTTCAACGAAAATTTGCGCCCAGAATCTCAGAAACCAAGAGTTTGTCAAAATTAAATAATTTACGAAATAACTGAAAATAGTTTTTGCTAATTTATTCGTTGAACATAAGTAATAACAAAAAACATAAAATTTCATCAAATTAACCAATTTAATGTTCGAAATTCTCCTTCACCTGTTCACCTCCTGTGACCTCCATACAATAATACAGTATATTTTCAAAGCCCCTTCGTACATTTGCAAATACCTCTCGGTCTGAATAATCGGCATTCTGTCACAATCCTTTGTCGGAACTCGGTAAGATCTACAGACGGAGTGGCATATATTTTTGATATTAGGTGAAAGGCAAAAGATCCGTTTATCTGGCCGACTACTCCATTGGACCCCTTCTGCCAATCCAAAGCCCTGGAAAACGTTGTTGATTTAAAAATTGTCTTACGCGTATATCATAATGTGGGGATGCCTTGTTCTGTTAGGAAGTCATTTTATCGCTTACAAGATTATCATCAGGTTCCAATGTGTCAGTGAGCAGCGGATCAATAACGTCTTCTAACAAATTTAAATAAGTTGTTCCGTTGGGATTGCCTTAAAAAACTAATAGTCCAATAACGTGATTCCCTAAAATTTCAACCCATACATTCAGTTTCCGACGTGTTTGTGTATGTGTCTCAATGAATAAATGAGTATTACTGATATTCAAATAACGACAATTATGTCTATTGTCTTCACCATTTAACATAAAAGTACACTCGTCGGAAAAACACGTACAATCGATGTTGGTTGTTTTTATGATTTCACTAAATTCTTCACAAATTTGACGTCGATGATCAGGATCATCTTCGTTTAATTGATGAAGTAATCGTATTTTATAAGGATAAAATTTATAGTATTTTATAATTCGATAAACACTCGATGCTCATAGACCAGATGCACGAGGTAGTTGTCTGATAGACTGTCGATTATCCATTTGTCAATGACCCAATACCGCCACTTCAACTGCTGCAGTTGAAATGCTTTAATTCTGTATTAATTAATATTGTATACATCTAAACAAATAAAGTACCTGTAAAGGAAATACTACCCTGAAAATTGCTCGCTCGATCCGAGCTCTACTTATAAGTTTTAACGTATATATCAAACAGATTAGCCGTAGGAAATGAACTACAGATTGATTTATAGCATCAATTCTGACGTATAGCAAATAAAAAATATAAGTTCGGAAATATTGTCGCCAATGAATATCTATCTACCTGAAAAATTGGCATTTTTACTTTAGTGAGGATTTCTGTACCCAAATACAGATTTATTACCAATTTCATTTTCATGGGAAACAACTTTTCACACCTTTTATTTATGACAACAGTAGATTGCTTATACTTACACTTACATTATTAAAATTTGTGGTGGTTCTAATTTCGATTTTCGTATCGTTTTAGCACGGTTTTTACTGGACCTTTTCTTGGAAGGCGTGACTTTAATTTTCGCTTGTGAAATTTTTCCCATTTTTAAAAATACTTACATTTCTAGAATAAAAAGTCCTCCTAAGACTATATACTCGCATTAGAATTTGAAATATTTTTACGTAAAATAGACTTTTAAAACCCACAATTAATAATAATATATTTTTTTCAAATAGTCCGACAACTCAGTTCTATTACCCAAATATAATAAATTAATTTTAAACAAACACTACTTCACTATGAATCAAAACTCGAATTTCAATATCTTGAAAATAATACACTACTGCATGAACAGATATCGATACAGATAACAGAGCAGAATCGTGCTATCACTTACACAGAAAACAGACGTAGAAGTGCAAATGCGATAGCAGTGACTATTTCTCTATGTTGCCAACTCACTCAGTTAAGTTCGATTTCTTGTTATAGTTAATTGATTTTGGTTCATTTTAGTAATTCCAATGTGACACAAAATCTAGGCTTGGGATAAAAAAGTTTATTTGAAGAAAGTGTATTTTTTTCTTTTTAGGTAAAGAAATAATAATAAGACTTACTCACAATCAATTTACTTTAACAATCTGACGACCGGTTTCGCTTTCTACAATTTGCAAAGCATCTTCAGGTCCAGATACAAAGTTAAACTAATTAATAGAGTACCGGCATCATTAGTTTAACTTTGTATCTGGACCTGAAGATGCTTTGCAAATTGTAGAAAGCGAAACCGGTCGTCAGATTGTTAAAGTAAATTGATTGTGAGTAAGTCTTATTATTATTTCTTTACCTATTTGACATGGACTCACACAGGCAACACATTCATGATTTTTTCTTTTTCTTAATGGCGGTAAAAACTCGGTTTTGTAATATTTTATTTAGTTATAGAGTAATTTCCACTTACTAACATATTTCTTAAAATTGGGCTTCGTACCGCCATTCTTTACTATGTCACTTATATGTGTGCCAAATATCTCGTCAAAATATTTAAGATTAAAGCTGCAATCTTGGAACGAACGCGTTTTCCGTCTTGATGACGCGCTGATGTAGCCTCTTAATTCTTTGAAGTTTCAATTTATCACAAAGGGATCTTGTAATAAAGCAAGATTGCCCCCGCTGTCTAATAATGCTCTTGCAATATACATATTACCATCCGAATCCGCAACCCGAACATATGCAGTTGATAAAAATATATGATTAACCTATGTATATGATAATATGATATGATAATAACATTAGGTATAAATGTATACCTAATGATAATGAAATATTACTCACAGACCATTCCAAATTCGTCACTTGTTTTCGTCGAGATAACCTGTTCACAAATTTCACTGGACATCGATCGATATAAATGCCGGTTTTAACAATGGCTTCTGGCCAGTAACGGGAAAAACTATTCTTGAATCACTAAATTCTTCCAACCATGTGATTGTAAAGTAAACTTTATTTCTGATATAATAACTGATATTATACATAAAACAAATATTGAAATCAAAATTAATGAAAGGCATTGTGTATTGTCTCATTGTCAATGGTCATCCGTCCCTTTCGCACCACTAGCAGGTGAGCCGCTTCAAAATGGTTTGTTTCTTACTGTGGATTCTAAACACTGTCTGTCCTTACAAAGTTTGTATTGCAATCTATTGGCTTATTTTACATCTGCCATTAGCTATTTAACAAGTCCAGAATATCTTTTACTTGGCCCTGGTATCTTGTACTAAGGCGACATCGATCCCTCTAGAGGATAGCTGTAGAAGGTTTGTTGGAGAAACCTTGTTGTAGTCATTAAGACCTAATAGGGATAGAAATATCATTATAGAATTATAGAATGCTAGTTCCCTTTATTTGTAGACTCAGAAGATGTACTCATTTCCGAGTCCCCTTCTGGATCCCGTCCATTTTATTCCCACATGTTACGACCATGCCGAGGTTATAACCCACAGAGTTCGCCAGTTCTCTGGGCCATCGCATCCCTAAGCATGATCGTGTTACACCTCAGGATTAGTAAGCAGAGTAGTCACAGCACAATTCTCACCACACAATGAGTAAATTTTAGTACGGCTGTTGGGTGATTTACAGATTGAGCAGATGGTATCCTCAAATTCAAAATAATTATTAATTAAATCATATTTGTAGAATGAAATTTTTATAAAATAATATGTTGTGAGAGTATCTGACAAAGTTTTACCTTCCTTATTTAATTTTTTGGATAGATTAACTTTACAAAAAATAGAACAGCGAAGAGTAAGCTCATTTGAAATAAATATATTATGGATTCCTTTTAAATAGTAGATTAATTATTATTGTCTATTTTTAGGGCCAAAAAGAGCTGAGCTTCCTGCAGATACAGAAGTTGTCTCCGAAGATGAACTCCCTACTGTTAAAAATGATACCAAAAAAGAAAGTAACAAGAGAAAGCTTAATGCCACTGATTACGATCCTGGATCCCCAACATCCGAAAATGAGGCACCTTCTAAAAAACCATCTCTTGATAGTTCAGTTGAAAAGGACAAAGAAGAAAAACCTAAACCGAAGAAATTACCAGAACTTGATAAATACTGGAAAGCAGTTAATGACGATCCTACTGATTTTACTGGATGGACATATTTATTACAATACGTTGATCAAGAAGTAAGTTTCTTATTTACGTTTTTATATTTTTGAAAAAAATATAAAAAATATAAATTTATATTTTTTGAGTCCTGTATATATTTCATATCATAGAAAACGGGCCACATAGAAAAATCAAACTTACAGTTTTTAAAACAACAATGAAATGTAAGCACGACTTTTTAGCAGGCTCCATAGGATATATATATATATGTATATATATATATATATATATATATATATATATATTATATATATTATATATATATATATTGAAGGGGTATTGTGGGTATTTAGAAGACTACTTAAAATTCCCTGGACAGATCACACAACAAATGTCGAAGTATTAAATCGAATTGTCATAGAACGCGAATTGCTGCCAATAATAAAAAGAAGAAAAACTGCTTATCTGGGTCATATATTTCGAAATTCCAAGTACCAGTTCTTAAAGCTTATTATGGAAGAGAAGATAGAAGGAAAATGGGACATCGGAAGAAAGAAATACCCATGGCTTAAAACATAAGGGATTGGACAAACCTCGATGCCCATATACTCTTTAGAGCCACACAAGATCGAGAGGAGTATGCCAGAATTGTCGCCAACATCCACTAATTGGATAGGGCACCATAAGAAGAAGAAGAACAGAAGGATTGTTGAATATATTCACTTGAATTGTTCCATATGCTATTTTTTTGATAGTAGTTATATTATAATACAAATTGTGCCTTTCGTTGATTGGTGAATTTGATCGATTCTTTTTAGTGTTAATATCCATACATAAACATACAAAAAATCATAATTTGGCAGAATTTTTCAACTTAAAACTATTTGCCTACAAGATCGAGGCCAAGTAAGGCATCTGTCAAATTAGTTAAACAAAGTGAAATATAATTCACAATATTATATATTATTTAACTTAAACATGTTAGAAGAAATCAGTTTCAGAACCTCTACAATTAATGTACAACTTGCGCGGCAAGCTTTTATTTTAAGCCGCAATAAAACGTGTGGAAGGCGTATTACTATAGACAGGGTATCCTAAAGCGAATATGGAATTATAAGAACAATGAATAAGTATGGTTTAGAAAGATTTTTACCAATTATAATGAAAATTAATAACGACATATTAACATCTTGTTCATTTGTTTAACATACTCAATTTACTATTTTAGAATGACATGGAAGCTGCCAGAGAGGCTTATGATGCTTTCCTATCTCATTATCCGTATTGCTACGGTTATTGGCGAAAATACGCTGATTACGAAAAAAGAAAGGGAAATAAAAAGAAATGCGAAGAGGTAAGTAGATACTTTTGAAATATAAAATTTTCGTGGAATGCTTTACTTACATATAATTATTTTGCAATTTCTACAGCTCGGCGTCGTAGCAGCTGCTGAAAAAATATATAATAGTAGTGAATATATTTATTGTTATTGTAATATTATTATTTGTACAAAATATTTAAGTTGATGTTAATGTTTTTACACCCTATCATTATTATCTTCATTTATGTTAAAATTATGACATAAAATTGAATACCTGTCGTTTACTGCGATTTGACAAATCGTCCAAAGATTCCTGGCATAGCTCGAGCTGGTAAGGGCGTCCACACCGATTGATGGAAGGGTTATTATCCCAGAATTTAAAATGTAAGAAAACATAATCGTCATAAAATAATAGGTTTTATTAAGTACAATATTTTTCTTTGAGATACATTACTTACCACAGTCTCTTTCAGCGTATGTGTATCAGCTGATGTGTATTAAATTTACTGTTGGTCAAATAATTCTGAAATTAAAAGAAAAGTAAGTTTAAGCAAACATGGAATACTTTAATACACATCATCTGTAGTTTTAGCTACTCATCTTTTAATTCTTGATTTTTAAAAGGTTTTTGAACGAGGTTTAAAGGCGATTCCATTATCCGTTGACTTGTGGATTCATTATTTGACGTACGTTAAAGTAACCCGAACCGATGATGAAGAATTCATCAGATCTCAATTTGAAAGGGCGGTAACAGCATGTGGCTTGGAATTCAGATCTGATAGATTGTGGGATTCATATATCAAATGGGAAACTGAAGCAAAAAGATTGCAAAAAGTAACGGCGATATATGACAGGTTGTTGGGTACCCCAACCCAAGGATATACAACGCATTTTGAAAAGTAAGTAAACATTATAAGTACTATTATTTCGATAGAAATTTAATGTTTTATATCAAAAATCTTGTGTAGAACTCTTCCTATTTCTTATAAAGTATTCTTCAACAATGTAATATACTCAAGATATGGAGCCTTTGAATAAATACTTGCGTCCAAAGTAGCTAGTAAGAATGACCGACTCTTATTTCCGGAATGTCGAGGTGTACAAAATAATTTTTTGGTACATGTATATGTACAATATTTATTTATTTTCTTTGTTATTTACATTTGAGTAAAAGATATAATGACGTGTAACGTTGTAAAATTAAAAAAAATCTTTTTATAACATAATATATAACATGTGTAATGCATATAAAAACATGTATATTTTACAGAGTTGCACATCACATGCTACTGATGTGACTTTGAGGTTAGAAAATATTACGGCGACAAAAGTATTCATCATCATCAGTAGCTCGACAACCCTTTCTGGGTCCTGTCTTGTTCTAGGATTTTCCGCCATTCTTTTCTGTTCTTTGCTTTGTTTTTCCAGTTGGTAATCTTAAGTGTTTTCAGATCTTGTTCACTTGTTCCATGTATCTAAGTTTGGGTATTTCCTTTGACCTTCTCCCTACTGGTGTTTGCCTCATTATATGTTTTGGTGTTTCAGTCTCCAACATCTGTTCAACATGGTCCATCCAGCGCAGACGTCCGATCTTTATGGTTGTTACGATCTCGGTTTCATTGTATGCTGAGTATAGTTCAAAGTTATATCTTCTGCGCCATATGTCATTTTCCTTTACCCCCTTATATATGTGTCTAAGGATTTTTCGTTCAAATGTATATGTTCAAATGTAAATGTCTAATAGGTGCTCATCGCTTTTCGACAGTCTCTACGTCTCTGATCCATATACAAGGACCAGTTTTATCAGGGTCTTGTATATTTTGCATTTGGTTTTTCTTGTGATGTTGTTAGATCTTAGATGTTTAATTAGTCCATTATATGTTTTATTAGCGATATGTATTCTTCTCTTAACTTCTTCACTGATATTGTTATCTGCGGTAACTAGTGAACCTAGATATGTAAAACTTTTCACGCTTTCGATGTTCTAGCTTATCTCGTACTGTCAGATTCTGTAGGTTTCTTTGGCCTGTCGATTTACTGGCCTTCATGTATTTGGTTTTTATTTCGTTAATGTTTAGGCCACTGTTTTGTGCCGCTCTTTCTATCGCATTAAATGCTTCTATCGTCTCTTTCGCTTCTAGCTATGATATCAACATCATCTGCAAATGCCAATATTTGTACACTTTTTGTTATTATTGTTCTTCTGGTGTTGACTTTTGACTTGAATTATTTTCTCTAATGTGATGTTGAATATAATACAGGATAGGCATCTCCCTGTCATTTACTATATCAATGAGTTGAGTTGGTATATTAAACTCTTTCAGTGCATGGATCAGAAACTCTCGATGGATGCTATCATAGGCACTCTCAAAGTCAATGAAAAAATGTGTGTATATTAAATTCACTAGTATTTTCCAAGATTTGCCTCAACACGAAGATCTGATCTATTGTGGACTTCTGCCTGCGGAAACCACATTGATATCCCCCAACTATTTGTTCCGCATGTGGTCTCAATCGGTCATACACAATATTTGACAGTATTTTATATGCCACAGTCAGTAGCGTTATTGTCCGGTAGTTTTTGCATTGAAACTGATCTCCCTTTTTATGTAGTGGTATAATTACTCCGGTATTCCAGTCTTCTGGCAGTTGTTTATTATTCCATATGTTCACTATTAGTTCGTGTATCGCATTCAATAGGGAGTCTCCACCTTCCTTTATTAATTCTGCTGAATTAATAAATAAAATAAATAAAGTGACTTGTTGTTTTTCAGTCTGGTAACTGCTTCTTGCATTTCAGCTACTGAAGGGGGGTTGTTTCTCTGGTATCTGTTTGATCCAGTATAATTCCATCATATAGTGAATCTTCGTTTTTTTCAAACTTTTCTTTGAAGAATTCTGTCCATCTTTGTAGTATTTCACTCTGTTGAGTTACTATATCTCCTTCTCTGTCTCTACACATCATTGTTCTTGGTTTAAATTCTTTTCTACTTTTGTTAAGTTTTTGGTAGAATTTTCTGTTTTCTGATGGTTTATTTAGTTCTTCTATTTCTTGGAGTTTCTATGTGTTCTCTTTTCTTTCTGTGATGTATTTTCTTCTCTTCCCTCCTTAGCATTCTATATTCCTCCTCTGCCTTTCGTGTTCTATGTCGTTGTTGTAGTCGTTGATATGCATTATTTTTCCTCTCTGGTATATTACGACACTCTTCATCGAACCACTGTCCTTCAGTTGATTTGGGCTTTTTTTGTAGACCCAGAGTCTCTTTGGCCGCGTCTTGTATGATGTTTTTACACGCTTCCCATTCTCTGTTTATATCCTCATGCTTGTTTCTATTTTCTAGCCTTCCTTTTATATATTCTTTGTATTTTGCATTTTTGCTGTTGTCTGCTAAGTTTTTTATTTCATATTTTTCAATTTTGGATCCCTTTTCTTTTTTAATGTTTGAGATTCTGGCTCTTATTCTACTTTCCACTAGGTAGTGATCCGAGTCTGCATTTGCCCCTCTTCTGCTGCATATGTTTATTACATCTGAGTGATGTCTAGAGTCAATAATAACATGATCGATCATGTTTACTGTGACCCCATCTGGAGATCTCTATGTTCCCTTATGAATATTTTTTCGCTGGAAGCTTGTGCTGGCAATGACCATGTTAAGAGAAGTTGCTAGATTTATTAGTCTGATGCCATTGTCATTGGATACTTGAAGGCTGTGCTTACCTATAGTTGGTAGGTATTGTTGCTCTTTTCATATTTTTGCGTTGAGATCACCATGAATAATTTTGATGTTATTCTTTGGTCATGAATAGTATGCAGCTTCTAGTTCTTCATAGAATTTTTCCTTGACAAAAGTATTATAAAAATACACTTGAGTGCAAAATAATCTCCTCCTAAAGTAAAAGTATGTCTCCTGTTTCAATCTGAAAAGTGTAAATTTAAAAATATTTAGTGTACAATCATTAGACTCATTATCAAGTTTTAAAAAAAAATTTGTTTTTTGGTGAATTGGATGACGCATTACAAATTAATATTGCAACACATAGAGCGGGGGTCACAATTTGACTAATTGAAATCGACACTCACCGACATAACGCGTTCGGTTACCATCGTACGCATTAATTTCCATAGCAACCCACTAATACATTACTCAAGCATTAGCATTATTGAGATAAGGCCTGATCCAGAGGGCCATGGCAAATCGACTAAATGTAAGCCGATCTGCTGTATCCCGAGTGTATCGTCGGTACCCAGATACTACTGATTATATCCGTCGACAAGGAGGAGGTCGTAAACGAATAACAACAGAGTCGATTTCTTGTATCGAAATCCCTAAGAAATCGTAATTTGAATGGTACTAAACTCAAAGAAGAGCTTAGTGAGGTCCGAGGTGTGGTGACCAGCGTTTGGACAGTCAGAAGGAGACTAAAGGCAGCCAACCTGACACCAAAAGGGCAGCTAAACCAAGCTAACTGCAGCCCAGAAGCAAAAGCGATAAGAATTTACTCGCGAACATTTGGATTGGGACGACTATCAATGGAGTCAGGTATTATTCTTCGATGAAAGTAGGATCTGCCTACATGGCAACGACAAGAGGCGTCGAGTCTATGGAAGGCCAGGAGAGCGATTTGCTCAATTTTGTTTATGAGAGAGTGTGTCATGAAGGCGATTCTTGTATGTTTTGAGTAGGCAGTTCTATGGATGGGAAAACCGAATTGATTTTCGTGCATGGTGGAGGAGATTTAACGGCAGATCATAACATCAGAGACATTTTGGAGGAACATGTGGTTACATTCACGAGATTTATTGATGCTGCCTTTATTTTAATGCACGATGCCATATCGCACGTGTCACCACCACCTATCTATCTGAGATCGGTATACCTACAATAAATTGGCCTGCGTTAAGCCCGGACATAAATCCAGTAGATCATGTTTATGATGAGCTTAAACGAAGGGTCCGGGACAGAAATCATGCACCATGGAGCATAATAGAATTGAGAGCTGCGCTTAATGATGATGGGGGAAGCAATGCCTCAAGAATTTATTAGAAAAGTCATCCGATCCATGCGAAATCGATTGGAAAGTGTAATAAGGAGTAGTGGTGGTAATACCAAATACTGAATAATTAAGAAATTCATGTTGTAATTGATGATTTCTCTATTCATAACGTGTTTATTGCGTTAGTTTTAATGATGAATATTTAGGAAACTCTGTTTGTATTGCATATTGTTTTTATAATGCGTTTTCTTAATAATGCAATAGCAGTTTTTGTAAGTTAAATAATAAAGATATTGTTTGCACATTACATCTTTCTATTTTCATACTTCTTACATTAAAACAGAAGGTGTAATCTCAAATATCGCTTTTGAGTCGATTATTTTGCACTCAAGTGTATAATTCTTATCTTCTTACATTTTAGTAATACTTACGAATGAAACTTATCTTTTGTTTTCTGCTGTGTTTTCACTGTATTACATGCAGTACAACCAACCATTTTAATTTTTTTTTGTATTGAACTCGTATTCAATACTTCCAACGACAATGGACTGCAAAATATTAAAAATTTAACGAATTTCTTGATTTACAAAAAAGAATACATTAAATTATTGACTTAAGACATAATGTTATCGGTTTAACATTGAAATATCGGGGATGATTATATTCACGTTAATCAGCTCTCAAATTCACGTCGGACATTGTAGCAAGTTATGACGTCAGTCTTTCGTGTATCAGCTACATGTAAATTTATTAATAGGTTCCATCCTGACTATATTACATCGTTGTATTCTTACATTTAACACTATCTTCCCCGCTCTTATTTATAAATCGTTCCCAGGAAATCATTTTTGAAAAACACAGCGACACGTCGATTGTTGATTAAATGGGGACAAATTTTTCCATGATTATTTTACTTTGACTCTTAAGCTAGGGTAAGAATCATCTTAACATTTTTTAATAGCATTGGGGTCAAATAAGATATTATTTGTGATATCTTGGATGACCAGAGTGAGGACTCCAGATATCTCCTTGGCAGTCGATCGTGAAGGAAAATATCTACAGACCGTAACGGATGCAGAGGTTTAATGAGGGAGGTTTGAATTGGGCTGTAGAGTCATAGGATGGATAGAATACATCATTTTAATGCCTTCGCATTTCCTTAGACAGATTAGATTAATCGTGATTAATCTTCCAGCAAATACATTTGTAAATACGTTTCGTCAATCATTTTTCACATAACTATAAATAGTGGTCCTAATCCTCATTAAGTTCCTGCACTAAGTGTATTTTATATGGATGTAATCTGTTCTTCTTCAAAATGACTTGGACACTAATTCGGTTGATTCCAGATTCAGCTGCTAGTTGCCTCGTACTTACATGGGATCTAGGTGAACAATCTAGGTGAACATGTAACACTGCAACTTCACTAGCTTCAGTATTAACTACAGGCCCTTAAATTTCCCGTTTTTATTCCTATGAACATTCTCAGTTTCCTGGAATTTTTTTACTAACTCCAAAACATATTTCCTACTGAAACGTTTATCTTGATGTCGTTATTTAGGTTGTTAAATTGGCACAATTTATAGTTCCTAAAATGCAACGAAATGATAACTATCCTTTCCGGAATTGAATAAACTATGATAATAAATTTTCTACAAAATTATTAATAATAATTAATAAATACTACAAAGTAATGCTTACAACTGATATTCAAAAGAGAAACCTTTAATTACACGTTCTTTATGTGTTACTATCATATCATTTACTTAGTGTGAAAAATGTGACAAAAAAAAAACAAAGATCAGACGAAGGAAGAAATTAAAATCTAAACCATTGGCGTACTTAAAACCGATAATTTATAATATGATTTATACACAGAAAAGTTTATCATTTGAGTAAGTTATAAAAAATTGTCGATTTTTTCCTGCAGTTTTCTTCGTCCAGGTTTTTTTTGATAGGCAGAATATTTCGGTGTAAGTTCGTCTGAATTCAAAAATTCGATAAGTTTTTTGTTTGTTTATGCCGTTGGCTCGTGATTGAACGAAGGAATTAGAAAACATATGGTACATTAGATTAGTGTGAAGTTTCAAAAAAATTAAATTTGAAATTTTGAATGAATTTTCGTCTTATATTTTGTAGCATTTTTCCAACTATCATTTTTAAAATATTTTTTCGTACAAATAAGAACGAGTCGACCGATTGAAAATACCTTCGCTCAATCACGAAACAATAGTATAAATATGAATTATGCAGAGAGAAATCGTTTCTTTTTACCGCATGGAAAATCAAAGTTTCTATAAAAACGGGTTTAAAATTTTTAAACTGACCGCTCGGTTTTCAAATTTCCATAACTCCGGTATTGTTACTCGAACTTTCTTTAAATTTGGTGTGGATACTCTTCAAGTACTTTACTTTCATAAAAAACAAAATCGATTTTTTGAAAATACAAGACCTATGTAACTTATTAAGCAGGGGTCTAGAGTGCAACAAATTTAAGTTTGGGAATGTGACGTAGTGTTTAGCGCTGGTGGCCGGACTGTTTCTGCCAGTGGCAGGCGGAAATAGGTAGATTTAAAATAATTTTTCATAAGTATATTCTATTAATCTGAAGAATGAATTTGTTAATTTTTATTTTCATAGTTTTTAATCATTATGAAGTTTATACTCAGTTGCACTCGATAAAATAATGAGTAAAATATTAGGAGTACTTTAATAAATTACAAATTCCTAAATACTTACAATTTATTAAATTATCACGAACGAGAGGTTTCAACATTACAAAAAAATATTTAAGTAGTTTATTTTAACTAATTAAATAATATATGTATTTATCTAAACAAGAATGCCTTAGTTATGATTCCTAGCATAATTCTAAGATCTCTATTAGTGAATTTGAATCACTATCTTCATCCTCAGCAAGGCTTTCTTCGGATGAACCAGTTGACACTCTACCTTTTACCAAAGCCGTATTTTTTCGATATGGTTTAACTCCGGATAATAGGGAGGCAAGCGAAGTAATTTATGTCCATGCTGATCAAGCTCATAATATAATACATAAACAGGTAAAAAAACATGGTTTATGGGCTTGTAATAATTTTATATAACTCCATATTGGATAGTGTTTGTTGAAAATGAATACTTTTTTCCCTTCGCCATTATCAACTACCAGGACCGAATTAAAATAACCAATGTATATTATTATTTTTACTAAATGTTTATCAAAAACTTTTTAGCGAACGACCTATCCTCGTTCTTAGTTTCGTAGACAGTCGTTAATTAGCTTTTTTACGAATTTTTTCTCAACAATAGAATTTTTAAAACTGAAACTTTAAAAGTAATTACATTACTGTCATTGTTATTCAAATTGACTTTTTAATTATAAACACGCACCCCATTTTAAAATTAACACAGCGTTAGGTACAAATCCAGTCTCTCCTCCAGCACGAAGAATAATCTACCTTTTGCCCTTAGAAATCGGTTTCTTTAAACATTTTTCGCTTTGGTCTGTCCAGTGGTATGGTGAAGTATGGCGGCTATGTATATATGTTTCGTCGGTATAAATTATGGATGTACCCTGAGATTGAAATTGAATTAGCTGTTAAAAATATTCTATTCGTTTTAAACGAATATCATAACTTTCCATTAGAACACACCTATTGTCTTCGGTTATTCGCCCCCTACAATCTGTTCCAGATGACCTTTTTTTTTCGGATCCAGCGATCCGGAAGCGGCATGGCCGCTGTAAGGCCGGCATCACTTCCGAAGCACTACCTTTATTCATTCATTCTCCATTCATACACATCCACACTCCTAGTTCGGCATCATTCCAAGAAGGGCATTTCCTCCTTCCCCACAGTCAAACTCACGCATTCTAACTCAAAAAGTGTGACCCACTGTTCTAACTTCACCTTTCAGCATCATTCACTCTACCTTTGCCGTTGGTTCAGCTGTCTTTCTTCCTCTTCCTTTTTTTGATCACTGCACGGATATAACTGTGTATGTTAATCCAACCTAATTTATTTTCAATCATTCTATCAATCATTTCTCTCACTGTAACAAAATTTTCACCTGTTTTCTCTCTCTCCATTTTGTTCCTTTCCACTATCCATCTGCTGCAATCTAACATCGTATGTGTCAGTGTCCGAGTATCCACAATATAGGCATTCATCTCTATCAGCCTTACCGATCCTATAAAGGTAGGCCCTAAAAACACCCGTGTCCTGTGAGCACCTGCGTCAGGAAATAATCCAACACACATGTGGCCACAGTCCACCCAAGCTCTTATGTTAGGGATCAGCATTTTCGTCCACTGTATTGTTCCATTCTTCTTGCCATCTTTCAACTGACCTTTCCCTTACCTGTCTTCTCTCAGCCACAGTAAGGTTTGGGCCTCTTCTCTTATAAAGCTCTTTTCTTTCCACCGCCAAAACATGCAACGGAACACATCCAGTGATGGTCCATAAGGCTGCCGCAGACACAGTCCTGTAGGCGCATGCCACTCGCAACAGACTTGTTCTGTATACTCGTTTCATAAGACTCCTATAGGCCGTTATCTGTTCCAGATGACTTGAAGAGTATCTTTTCAGAAGTATGATGGTTTAATTTTGTTTTTATCTATTTAGGAATCACATTGTTGAATAACTATTATTGACAATTGATCTAAATACACTAAATTAGTTTATGATACACTAATTACTACCACCAAGACTACTACTATACTAAGCACTAATCTAGAAAAAATAATAAAATATCCAACACAATCAAATCAACAAGACAAGTCAAATACTCTCCGCGATTCGTACTGATACGTCCGTACTTCTCAGACTACGACACTTCCAAGCAGCACAGTGGCCGTTTCCATGGTAACACTAGTAAAAACTATTCATTGCGCATCGTCGAGGTATGAGTCATTTTCCCAAACTTAAGTTTGTTGCAGTCTACATAGGTTTACAGTTCTGATTTCTGCACTTTAGTAATTATCATTTAATGTTTTGTCAAATTCTACTGCAGCATTCTACTGTCAAGATTTTGACGGATAGCAGCCAATTTAAACGTTATTCGATTTGAAGTTTATGGAAATGAACTTGTTGACATTAGTAGTTTTAGAGGTAATGGATTTTAACAAGAGCTATAAGTCATGCCGATTTAGTACACAAGTTTACCTGTTATTTACAAGGTCACAGCTCTTGTCAAAATCCTTTACCTTTAATTTCAACCAGTAAGAGGCGTCACGTATATAAACCAAAAATGGGTGTATCGAATTTAAATCCTATTAAAAAATGCGTTAAAAAAATTATCTTTTTTATATATTATTTAAAAACTAAAATTGTGTTACTACCATAACTGTAAATCTAAATTAACAATTTTTAATAAAACAAAAAAAGATTTTTGATACGTTCAAGTTTCCTATTGACACTTTGCAATTCGGTATTTATTTGTAAGTATTTAGCTATCAATCATTAAAAATTTATATATCAATCCATTTTATATCCACCAATTGCACCTATTATATTGATTGATGTATAGTGTCCCGATCATTTATATCTTTGTGAAACATTTTTGTTTATTTATATTTTTGTAAGTGAAAGTTTAAGGGAATCATATTGTGTATCAAGAAAATTTTATAATGTATGTATGAATGAATCGATTCTAAGATATATTTCGGGCATGTAGGTATCCATAAATATACCAGCTTAATTTTCCATGTTTTTAGTGCAATATCGTTCTTTAATTGACATAAACCATTGAATATGTTACTTAGTATTTAGGTATAATAGAGTTAATGTATTATTTAGTTGTAAATCATTTCTGTTAATTTGCCATTATTTTTTACCCGTGTAATTTTGTTAAAGTTTCCAAGAACATATATCTAATAACGTACCAAACAAGGTAATAGACGTAGATGAGTTTTTGGCATTGCGGAAGGAGGTTAGGCAGCAGCTCAAGCACGAAATAACTGATACCCCACCAGCAGATAATGATGCACCACCTGGTGATGAAGATCAGACTAAAGTGATTAGTTCTGATGAAGAAACAAAAATTCTTAGAGAAAGAATAATTTCAATTCGAAGAAAACTCCATAAAAATACGGTGACTGCGGTGACAGCTAGATGGAATTATGAAGAAGCGGTAAGATATTTTATTAAAGTGTGCTTGATGTACTATTAAATAATATATAGTTTATCATATTGATGTGTGGGATTTAATTAGTTTGTGATGTAAAAAATAAAGATTCGTTTCATTTTGAGACTATGATTTGGTAACATTCCTCATATCTAATGTATTATATGGTATAATTTTATTTTTTTTTAATATGTGAAAAAATATAGAATAAAAATGAATTTTGTTAGATATAATCATTAAAATACACTTACGTACATAGCAATCGACCCACTTCATAATTTTTAATTTTATCCTTGTTGTTAAAGTGATTATATGTCAAGTCAAAAAAAAACTTTGAAGTGTTCACAAGAATGCCTGTACTATATGAAATGTAGCAACCAAAAGAGCAAGTAAAAACTTTATTATTAAAAATCATACGACACTGGAAAATCCAATCAAATTATTGTTTTAATTGAAAATTTTAGCCAGTGAAATATTGCTAGAAAATGTGTTGTGGAATGATTTGAATACTCTGTGAACAGTATAGGGAAACTAAGTTCTACCGTCGTCGACCAGGCGTAGTCAGCTTAACGTGTAAAAAAAGAATATAAGTGAAACCTGACTCAAATAAGTTCCACAATTTGTCTAAACTCGTCCCAGCGCACTGTTAGCATAACTGAGTTTTTGTACGATATCTTTTACACTGGAATAAGTGTAAGAAGATAGTATCTAGGAAACAAAGTGAGAGATTTGCAGAGTGCTGCATTAAAGAGCGGATTTGGATTTGGTGTAGTGGTAGCTCATGCAGTATACTGAACTTTCAGACTTATTTTCTTCTTCTAAAAATGAAATATATTTGTTCTGTTTATTTAATTATACATGGTTGGCCACTTAAACGAGTCCACTCTGATATTTGGCAATATTCGTTGTATTTTGTGAAATGCTAAGCTAAAACAGGTCGATTTTTATTCCAAATAGGACATCTTTTAACGATATAGATATCTCATTTGTTAATCCCCTCCTTACCAGTACCACAACCTTCAATTTTAAATAGGGACTAGATCAAGTGTGTCACATCATTAGACAGGTATTTTGATGGTGAATTCAGGCATGGATAACCTTTTCCATATTAACTCTATTCTAGTGAAAAATTATTAGCTTATTGAAAGTGTTAGCCTCTTAAAAACTATACCGAAGTGTGAACTGGTTTTCAGTTAGATGATTTTTATGACATATTTTACATGATTTAGGAGATGTTTTAAGTCATATATTTTTTTCCTAGAATGCTTACGGACTTTACTACATATACTTAAATTTGGGCACGTTCGTAACATCAGTTGTCGAAATTATGTTAAATTTTTTGTAAGTATCCATGATTCACACTTTCCCGTCAATTTGGAGTAAGTGTGACAATAGACTTTAGCTTACAACAGCGTGTGTTACTTTTGGGGCAAGTGTAAATAATTCAAGAAAAAACGAATTTTTTAGTGTTTGAAAAATTTTAAATTATTTATTTTTAAGCAAGGTACAAACTTTTTAAGATTCAAAGGTTCAACCCGACAAAATTTACGTCAAAAATTAAATGATCCCTTCTGTATTTAACGGGTTCTGGTAAAGTTTTTACGATATCATCTTCAACTATCATATCCGTGTCTTCTATATCAGGCCAAAAAAAGGTGTTACTACTCTTTTTATATCTTAAAAAGCAAATTTTCCATTCATTTTCAATCTTGTTATCAATTCTTCCAATAAAATGTTTAATTTTTTTAGATGTGTACTCTACAACACCCAAATACCAAGCGCGATTTGGGTCTTTCCCAACTATCCAACCGTTGGCACTTCTTTCTCAATTTTTGCTCGTTTTCTTCAAATATTTCAGGATCTAAATCATCTTCATAGTCAACATATTCTACCAATTCTTCCGATTCTGAGCTACTAAAAGTTTCTTCTCGTTTCTTAATCCTCTTCTGTTTCTTTTTTCTTTCTGCGTTCTTCTTCTTTTGTTTCTTTTTTCTTTCTGCGTTCTTCTTCTCTTGTTTGTTTTTCTATTTCTTTTATGTTCTTCAATCTATTTTCTTCTGTAATCAGAACTTCTTCGGAAGTAACGACTTCTGCCCCTGCAGCTACTTTTTTTCTCTTTGAGTCCGAGGAACTTTGCTTATTTGTCTGTTTAACAGTGTTTAATAGCAGCTCCTCAAAACTTATTTTTGATATACTCCTCAATACTGATCAGTATTGCCGGCGGTAATAGCATCCATATTAGTATTTGCGGTTTCAGCTACAACTATTGTTTGGTCTTCTAAAATCTTTTGTTCTTTCCATCTTTTTAGGCTTTCAGGGTGGTATTTTTTCTCTGTTATGATGACGGTTAAATCTATATATACCAGTTTTTCTAAACCCGTTTTTGATCATTTCTACGTTTAGGTTTTTCCATGTAGTGCCTATCGTCAGAGAAAACTCTTTATTTTTTGGAATTTAAGGCCAGTATTATATCTCTACCAGGTTACGAGTTGTTGGTCCCAAGCGTCTTTTAGAGACTTACGGCTAAATCCAAAGGCTGCAGAAGGTGACTGGTATCCATCCATTGAAACTGGCTGCATAAGCAGTTCCCGGAAATGAGTTCTTGTTATCTGGTAGCCAGGAATCCCAAATATTGTTTCCCTTGAATACGATTAGTGGTGGTACCTTCCTCCCTGATGCAGATACTGCTGAAAGAACCGTGGTGTTTTCTCTTCCTGGACCGGAAGTAGTTCTGGAACTTGGTTTACCTTTAGCTCCCACGACTTTGGTTTTTTTGGGGGTCGTGAGAAATGGATGTTTCGTCCATATTCCACACGAGTTGCGGCTTGTCCTAACTTTAGCTGAGCTAAAGTTTTTTTTGAGTATATCAGAATATTCTTGGATGATGAAAGGATTTGTCTTTTTTTTTTTTTTTTCGAGAGTACTCCACAACTTAGAGGGTTTTTTATGCTAAGTTGGTGACGTCTTTTAAAACTCCCGAACCACTCATCCCCAGAAGTGTTATCCTTAAATGGAGTTTTTATGTTATTTTTGATAACACATTGGCAAACAATCTCGAGTAGTTCCAATCTGGATATTCCAGATCCCCACTGCTCCATAATTTTTAGTCCTTGGGTCAATCAGTCTCATCTTGGAGTGGAATCGCTGGAGCCCTCCCTTGCGATTTGCTTTTAACTCCTCGAGTACCAGTCACATGGTAGAATAATGTTTTAGGAATATTATACAATTTATGTGCCCGGTATATCGAACAAACCCCCCTTTTTATCTCTGACATTGCGTGATTTAAATCATCTTGGGTATATTAGGTTGCTTGATCCTACTTCCGTTTATAGTTTCTCGCCAAGTTCAATCTAGAATTAAAAATTAAAAGATCACCCAGTACAAGTGGTCACATTTACCTCAGTAGGCAATACAAACGAGGTAAGTGTGACCTAAGTCATAGTTCAGTTAAAAATTAAAATTGGCAATTTTTTGAATACATCAACGTAATATAGTTGTTAAACAATCCTTCATACCATAAAATATTTACTTACCACCTAATACTATCTTCTTACAAAATTTGTAAACAAAGTCTGCACACTAACATCAACAAGTTAATTCGTAATAACATACGCCAACTGTCAAATATCAAATTACTTGTTTTCTACAAACTGCGTATTTGCATAGATCGCTGTTTCAAGAACTTAAGTTTCTACGCACAAGATGCCGCTGGCATCCCTAAATTGTAGAAAATTTTATATAGTATAGTCACACTTGCCCCACAATCACACTTCCTCGGTTTATCTTAACGCCTATATTTTGCTAGTGTCAATTTCCTTGGCAATTAAGGCGTTAATTGTAACATCAAATAGGAAAACTATGAAATGAAAGTAACGTAAATAAAATCAAACTTACTAAATTTCAAATTAATAAATTCATTATTCAATACAGTTTACTCAGTAGCTATAATTATTTAATTAAATGTTCAAAATGATATACACCAACATCCATACAATTATAAAGTCGCTGTTCGAAATTACGACGAACATTTCGAAGCATTTCACGAGTTATTATTGCATTATTCGTCGTCTAGTTCTTCCAATCAATCAGGAATAGTATTATAAGTCTTCATTTATTTGCTATGCCAAGTGTATTTTATAGGAATGAAATTTATAATGTTTCAGTACTCCGCGGTTAGTAGTGCGCGAAAAACAGGTTCTTGAGCTATTTAGTACTTAAAGTAGGTTCCAAAAAAAATCTAAAATTGCTACTTCTGCCGCTTCAGTCTTGAAACATTTTTCACGTTGCTTTTTTTTCGACTACTGAACACGTTAGCCATTTCTCGGTTGCCTATATATTAATACGTACGAGTGATGAAGTTGCTTTTCTTGATAATAGTAATTAAATAATTTCGCTTTTCACCTTGCACTATTTTCTCATTTTGTTTCATATTTTCAAAAAAATTGGAAATAATTTTATAGATCAGAATAGACCATTTTGAACGAATTAAAGAAAATACTTATTTAATATCGCTGTTAAACGATAAGAAACAACAGTCAATAAACTAACTTTTTGCAAATTTGTTTCAATATAGTTTTTGACAAGAGTAGAGTTAATATGAAAAGAAAAATATGTATGCCTAAATTATCCAGCTAAATACATCTCTAATGATCTTCCACGCATAGCCTATTTCCTATTTAAAATTAAGAGCTTGTGGTACTAGAAGAGTTTACAAATGACAGACGTGTATATTGTTAAAAACATGACTCATTTGGAATAAAGATCGACCTGTTTCAGTATTTTTCAAAATCCAATGAATATTTCAAAATATCAGGGTGGACTCTTTTCGGTTGTCAAACCTGTATAATTGTTTTCTTTAATGAATTTTAGTAAGTTTATGGTCACCTTAAGAGCATAGGCGCAAAATTTCGGGCCAATGCTTTTTAAATGAATTCATTTTTTTCGAATCCTGAGAAAACCAATAATTATTTTTTTAAATTTAAACGCAGAATGAAAGATTACATTATTATCGAGGGGAGTATGTCCCTGAAAACTTCTATGTTTATTTTAGTAAGTTGCAAGGGTGAAAAAAAAAAAGAGAAAATTTTGTGTGATTTTTAATTTCAAAAATCTTATTCAAAAGAAACTTTTTGTTTATTCTAACGAACTTTCGGCCCTCGGTAATAATGTAATCTTTCATTCTGCGTTTAAATTTTTCAAAAAATATTTATTAGTTATCTCGGGATTCGAAAAAAAATGCCAAAATTCCCGAAATTTTTTTTGCGCCTACACTCTTAATGTAAGTTTGATCATTTATTATACTTCAAGTATATTTGAATTTTTTTTTCGATTTGATATATATTTTCTAAAAAAATAACAATAAAATTCAAAATTGTGACTAAAATTAAAATATTTTTCTCTAGTTATACATCATTAATAATAAAATTCATTATTTGAACAATTGATCATTAATATACAGTTAGCATCTGGTTTATTTTATGATAATTAAGTGTTTATTTTTATAATGAATAGTGTAAAGAAAGATAACTAAAATTAATATTTATTGTTTTTTTTTTAACTTCTGAGTATAAAAAAATCTCTTATTTTCCGAGCGTTTCGCGGAAATTTGCTTATCTCTACCTACAGAAATCTCGTTTAGATGTCCTGTCATTACCTGGCCTATTCAGGTTAAGATATTTATTGTCAGTCTACCTTTTAGAAAGGAAGAATTTAGTACATCATCTGCACACCTCGCATGGCCAAGCTTTTCTACCCTTGCCGTTAAAACCATTATGATATATATTTCATTAGTAGTGAACAGTAAGACTAGCTGTGACGTTTTGATATATATATATATATATATATATATATATAATATATATATATATTATATATATATATATTATATATATTATATATATAGGTATGTTTCATAGCATTAAATATACAAATTTATGTAATGTACACTCACCGGCACAATTAACTGTCCACCAATGTTCTTCAATTTGCAGAAATTGTCAATCTAGGATCACATTTTATGAAAGGTACTGTGAAAACTACTATTGAGGAAAAGAAAACAATAAAATTATTGAAAAAGAAAAAAGTTAAGGGATGTTTACCAAAAATTTAATGTTAAAAAATCTTTTAAAAAAAAAATCAAACAAACATAATATTGAAAATCATAGTCTAATAAAAAAAATTACGAGTATTAATAATGGGTGGTGCCGCCTCTGGCTCTTAGGACTTCTCAGAGCCGGTTCGGCAATCCATTCATAATATCCTGGATATCCGATTGGGGGGTATTGTGCCACTCCTCTACCTCAGCCGTCTTGAGCTCTCCGAAGGATGTAGGTCTGGTACTCTTGCTCTTACCCGTCTTTTAAGGTTGTCCCAAATGTTTTCAATTGGTTTAAGGTTTGGATTGTATACCGGTCATGGTAAAACTTGAATTTTAATTTCATTAAGGTACTCACTTGTGGAACTTGCTGTATGGCAACGTGCATTGCCATGAATTAATCTAAAGTTTTCACCAGTGAACGAGCTTCAGGAGCGGTGCAAAAGCGATTTCTCAACACGTTGCTGAGAACGAAGCGATCATCACTGCATCGATATCGGCCTTAACCTGGCCTACGGGTGTATGAACCTGTCTCCCGAAATCGTCTGATGCATAATGTACCGTAGTTCGGGATACATCAAGTGTACGAGGAATAAGACGTTGGCTGTACCCAGCATCAGCTAAAGCTACTGCCCTAGCTGCACCAGTTGTAACGAGTGGCTTTTTTCACAGTCACAACTCAAATTAAAAAATATTCGTACTCTATGGCAAAAAATAGCAGGAGATGGTAACACGGTAACATGATTGCAACAATGTCCTACAAACTGACAAATGTAAGACAACGTAAGACTCCACTAGAGGTTGCTGGTCCTGAGACAAAGTGTCTACGAGGACTTGTTGATAGCAACTGAGTTGCTATCAGACCAAACGTTGCCATATAATATTTTTATAATTTATGACTGTACTTCTCTTGGTTAACGATTTTACAAAAATTTATAATTTAACAAATATATCTATAATTAACTTTATGTTCATAGGTGACTTAAGTTTATACGAGACCAGAAATCTTACAATATTTTTTGATCATTTGTTTGAAACAAATTTAAATCTTAATGTATATTCGGTTAAATAACTTAACAACATTATTAGATTCATACAATAACTTTTATTACCATTTGTCTTAATAGTAAAGTTGAATTTCTCACTTTTAATTTTACCTAATGATGATTTTGCATAATGGTTGTTTCCTTGTTAAGTGAACGGGAAGCAACTCTGAAATAATTGTTGACACCGCAAGGGCCATCTGACTTGCTTTTAAGATTGTAAATTATTTGTGTGTTTTTGACTGTATCTAATGTAAATTTTTGATTTATAGATAAAACGTCCATATTTTCATGTAAAACCTTTAGAACGATGCCAGCTTAAAAACTGGCAAGATTATTTAGATTATGAGACTGAACAGGGAGACAGAGTGAGGATAATAGTATTGTTTGAAAGGTGTCTCATAGCATGTGCTCTATACGAAGAGTTTTGGTTAAAGGTGAGTCTAATTTGTTTTATTTATATTTTACATCAAGTTAAGTGACAATTTGTTTTTGTCCTAACTGACCATATCGTTCAATTAATCAAAAATTTAATTTTTAGTTTGTGCATTATCTGGAAAATCTTAGGGACCACGAGCTGCAACCTAAAATAAGAGATGTGTATGAGCGAGCTTGCACTATTCACCATCTAAAAAAACCAAATCTCCATTTGCAATGGGCCATTTTTGAAGAGGGTGTTGACAATGTCTCAAGAGCAGCAGAGATATTAGTAAATTTGGAAAAGTCTGTTCCAAATGTGTTACAGATTGCTTATCGGCGGATAAATTTAGGTAAGCTGCAATATTTCTTTAACAGGCAATACGTTACATTAGTTATCAACATATTCAGATTCATTATTGATTAAAAATAAAATATATAGGCTAGACCATTTATAACAGCTCATTTTATACTCTTTTTTGATAATTAACTTTAACTAAGCTATTTTCTTATAAAAAGATTTAATTTTGGGCAGGACGTGTCGCGAGAATGGACGATAATTCGTGGACTAAAAGAATTATCCATTGGAGACCCAGAGAAAATGTCTCTTACTACATCTTTTAACAAGATGGACCGGCGAGCTCCTCTGCATATACCTGTGCTGTGTATCATTGAGTCTATACATAATTCAGTCGCTATATCTCGATTGTGAACTATATTCTTGATATTGGTGTTTTATTTTACTTGTGTATCTCTAAAAACGCAATAAGGCCCTGTCACAGTAATCGCACTCGGCAGGGTCGCTAACACTGAGGCGTAAGGCTAAAAATCGTTTTCAAAAAATCCTGAAATAAAAATTGCGAAAATTGATCTTTAAAGTATAAAGGTTGTTTGTACATTCAATTTAATTTACAATCAACCTTTATAGGTTAAAGCTAAAATTTTCACAATTTTTATTTCAGATTTTTTTTGAAAACTCGAAACGTCAAAATAAAATAAATATAATTGCTATTACAATTAATTGTGGTTTAATCTCATCTAAAATATCAGTGTAAGACATGCGACAAGAAAATAGTTTTTAATGATACTTAACAGATATATGCGCAAGAGGAGCTTCCTATGCTCAAAATTGGTTGCTATGACATACTAAGATCGCTTTGTGTGGTATGAAACTCACTCTAATATTTTTTTGACTATTTTTTTTTTTTTGATATATTTATGTAGAGACTGGATGACAAGTCAAATAACACAATATATTGCTAAACACACAACGACAACTGATGTTGACATGTCTAACGTCAATTAAAATAAAAGCTGGACGCTTGTAATTTCCTACGCTACTAATCATGAAACCGCTTTGGCAAACAATGGAACAATCTGATCACACACATTTAATTATTTGTTTGTTAGAGTACACCGTTGCGGTCTATATATTAACTGTTTGTAGAAAATTAAGATTTTCATCCAGCTGTCATCACCAAAAGCTATCTAAAATTTTATGATGGAAAGTGATAGGTGGGGGTATAATACATAAAATAAAATAAAGTTAAATTTAATTTAAATAAAAATAAATTTAATTTCTAGAGTGATTTGGAAGAAAGACGTTTAAAAGGAGCTTCTTTTTAAAAGGTGAAAACATAAAAAATACTTAAAAATTAATTTTGCTAATTAACAATGACTACCTGTTTGTATCATTTGCAATAAACCTGAGGTATTGTTAATACAATTAGTACTACCAAGTGGGACTGGAAAGAAATCATTAGCAATGACGCAAAAGTATTCAGGCTACTTTATACAAATTATATTACTATATCTTTAATTAACTTTTATTAGTGTACATTGTGAAAATACATTTTTGTAAACTTCTTTAAAAAAAATTCTTCAATCCAAATCAAATTATCAGAAAAATCACAAAAATTCTAATAAAAAAACTAATTTTTTGCGTTTTTTCAATTCTTATGTATTTTTTAAATAGTAACGAACCACTTATTTTTTTTTTACTTCATCAAAAAGTAGATGTTTCAACGAAGAAACTGAGCTCTAGCAGAAGTTAAAAAAATTAAACCATTTAATTTTTTTTTAAATAAAAGGTGTTTTTTTGAAAAAAAACACAAATATCTCAGAAAACTGATAAATAAAAAACGAAGAGATCGAAAAAAGACAATTTTTTCCGTTAGTTTTGAGGTAATGTTAAAAATGTTATATAACACGATTTATAGATTTTTATATTATCTACAACCTTTGTATTTGAAATATTTTAAAAAAATATCAAGTTTCGCCGCAAAATTAAAAAAAAACTTTTTCACTCCCTTTTAACCTCCCAAAAATAACCTCGAAACTTTTCAGCTGTTTAATTTATTTTTATTTTTTATGTATTATGCCCTCACTTACCACTTTCCATGATAAAACTTTAGATAAAATTGTTTTTTAAATTAAAATTAAGCTAATTTGTGGATCTATACTAAGAACTTCAAATAGTCTTCGGGTACATTCACTTACCGCCTCATGTGAATTTGAATTAGCTATTCTGAAAACAATAATGGCTTCATACGTACTTCCATTTTAAAAATGTACACCAAAACTCATGTTTCGTTTTTACCATTTTGAGACAAGGAAATGATAATAAATCAGTGTCGTGTTATTTTGATTAATTTATTTCAAACTTTAAAAACAATTGTTGAGTCATTATTTTGAACAAATTCAGTTTTATTCAAACCGTCTAGAAGGGAATGCAGTTCTTATTGATGTGAGGTCGACCCATTTTAAAATATTCAAGGGGTGTAATATTCAAGTATTCAACACGGTTACCCCATGTTATAGAGAAAACATTTTTAAAACGAAAATGGATTTCATTAGAAATACACTTCCCCAAGAAATTAACGCACCACTTTGAAATATTAAAATATTTTATTATAGTTAATAAAAATTTCCATTGTAATGTTATATTTTGCAAACCCCTTGTATATGCTATTCGTACAACTCTTATATTTATGACTGTGTATTTATTGCTATTAGTTTTTTTTGCAAACAAAACAAACAGAAGCAAAAAAATGTACTAATTTTCTATAAAATATACTAATTTCCAAGTGTTCACGAATTTTATTCGGCTACTGTTTAATTGTTGATTATTGTTTAATTGTGGTTTATTATGGAGCGTCAATTCACGTAAATTTAACCGAGATGAATGTGCCAATACGTCCATGGCCCAAGCAGTGATTACTGTCGGAAGAAGGTTGGAGTTACCGAAGAATTGGTCGTCGGTTTATGTGTCCCACACATCCGTCTTACGAGTGTTTGGAAAGATTTCCTCGAAACAGGGGATCAAAACTCGCAGACCAGGACAAGGACGAAACCGGGTGTAACTACACCTATTCAAGATCGATTTTTTAAGAATTTCTGCTCTTCGACAACATTTTGTAATCATCGAAGTCTACAACATTCAGCTTTTCAGGCGTGCATGCTATACAAATTAGTACTGAAAACCTGTTCGCCAACGACTTAGGGAATAACAAACTTAACACCTAGGATTGCCGCCCGAGGTCCTCTATTAACTGCAGAGGCATCGAAGGGGGAGACTTACATTGTGCCAGAGAACACGTTAATTGGTTAGAGGCTGACAGGGAACGAGTGCTATTTACTGATGAATCCCGATTTTGTTTGTACAATAACGGACAGACGTGTTCGTGTGTTGCGACGACCCAACGAAACGATATGCTCAGTGTAACTTCTCACACACCACATTTTTGGTGGAGGATCCATTATGGTGTGGGGTGGTATTTCTTTGACCGCACGTACGGACCTAGTGGTCATACAAAATGGAACTGTTACAGCGGAAAAAAGGTACATATTGGAGATCCTGGAGCAACATGTAGTACCATTCGCCTCCTTATATCGGTGAACATTTTCTTACTAATTTGCAAGATAATGCAGACTTCACGCTGCACAGATCGTCAGAATTATCTAGAAGTGGTAGAAATTAAACACTATGGAATGGCCAGCACATAGTCCGGATTTAAATCCGATTGGAAAATATCTGGAATATACTTGGTAGGCGATTAATAGCGACACCCGCTCCAACCAAACACTTACAGGAAGTGGAAGAGAGGCTGATGCAGATTTGGAGAGAGAACTAAAACCAAAATTAAATACGGCCAATTATTTTTAAGGTATGAGTCAAACGATTGTGAGGGCTGTTATACGTAGTAGAGTGTGAAACACTCGTTATTAAGACTTTTTTTTTCATATTTTAGTTTACTTTTCTGATCATTATTTTTTTAGAATTTTCCGTTTTATTTTTTTTTCTCCTGTACTTCAACACATTTCTGGTAATTAGACAAATTGTTATAATTACTGATAAAATTGTAAGAATAAATCTGGGTGAAGTTTTTATTTTTTATTCTTTGTCTGTTTACAAATAAAATTGATTTATTGAAGTGGTGCGTTAATTTCTTGGAGAAGTGTAGTTCGAGGTTTGTTCGAGGATTTTTGCAAATATATTATGTTAGGTATTAGTACTGTATGATGGAACATAATATTTTGCAGTTCATTTATCATAACCTGAGTAAAAATTCTAATGCTAATTTTTCCATTACTTGTAATAAACCTATATTAATATTTTCATCTATTTAAGTTATAGGATCTTATTTTTATGTGACAATATTTCTTCTGTTTCAGAAAGGCGACGGGGCGATAACGAAAAATGTTGCCAACTTTTCGAACACTATATAAGTAATACAAAAAACAAAATCATTGCCAGTAGCATATCAATAAAATATTCCAGATTTGCATACTTTATAATGAAGGACATTGAAAAAGCACAAACAATTTTAAAATCTGCTATACCTAAAGATCCAAATAATCCTAGACTGTATTTGCAGCTTGTTGATCTCACTTTACATAAAGGAGATGCAACTGAAAACGATATCATAGAAATCCTAAATATGTTTTTGGACAAAGATAATATAGACGCTGAGCAAAAGATGTTGTTTGCTCAAAGAAAATTAGAATATCTCGAAGATTTTGGTAGTAATCTTCAGTTAGTACAAGACGCTCATGAACATTATCAAAAATTGGTCAAGCAAAATAAAGAAGGAATGAAAAAGAAGGAAGTTAAGAGGTAAGTGTTGGAGGCAGATTCTTCGATTTTTCTTTAACAGCGGCCAACTATAATTTCTTACTGCCGTTACTGCAACAAATTTTGATTTTTCGAAACAGTTGAGCGCATTGCTTAACTGCTCGACGACTTCGATGGGAGGTTAATATCGGTCTGATCTGTGGTTCTTTACGCATGCGTCACCACTAAATTTACACTAATTTAAGTCATCCTTAGCCCGCGCATACACAGACATAGATCAGGCGTTCCGAGTTGTGCATTATTTCTTTGGAGTTCTGAGCGCACATGCTGCGATCAGTTAATAGCTTTCCATTGTTGTTTCATTTTAAGTATTGAACGTGAAAAACATGTTCTCATATAGTTACCATTACTTTTTTTGAGCGTGGTGGCGTCCAAGCAAAAAGGGAAAGTTGCATGCACCCAATTAACAGCAATCGAAAAGATCAAGGATAATAATTTAATCCTTCAATATAGTATTTATATATAAATATTATTTTTTCGTTTATTTTCGTACGATAATAAGCACCTTCAATGAATAATTGTACAAAATTTAATAAGGCATAATGTAGAAAAACAAGAATGGCTGTGGATAATTTGCAAAAAGCTTGGAAGAATCAAAAGATGTCTGAGGAATTGGAAGATAATTTTATTGTACCAATACATTTCCAAAAGAGAAGAAACCCAAGCACATAGCAATATGCCTAGCTCAAGTTAGCTATAAATTATATACATCGATAATAGAGAAAAGACTAGGGAGTATGTTGAACCAAAACTGGAAGAAGAACCCCCCTTAACCCTTAGTGATATGAAAAATAGATTACAACCTATTCTCAGATCTACCGAATAGATTTTGAGAATAGATATAATTCCTATCAAAATTTATATCTTGCTTTTAGTTTGAATGGTTTGTTTATTGCGTATTCAATCTAATTACTGACAATCCATTACTATCTTCCACATTTCCATTCTATTTAGTTTCGCTCAGTTATTTATCGTCGTAACATTTAGTTTACATTACTTTTACTACAATGTCCCTAATGCAAATGGATATTGGGTGGCCAAAATATATTTGACGACTCTATAATTTGTGTATTGTTTCTGCTTGACCTTAGACTTGCGTTGTTAAACAAACATCTTTAATACCATCGATTCCAAAGTGACATTACCTTTCTTTATTTTCTGTAGTGCTTTAGTAACTTGTTATTTTAATCATTGCTTTTATTCTTTCCACTGGTTCTACTGATTTTCAGTAGTACTGGGCCTAGAACAAACGCCAACGGACTACCTAAGCTCTGACGTTTAGAATGGGCGGGGGTTTTAAAAACCTTTCCAAACATTTCTAATTTGTGTGTATTTGTCCCATAAGAAGTTGGAAATTATTGGTTTTTTAATCGTTTGAATAAATAAAGATTTTTTGGTTATGAATAATTCATTTTGTGCGATTGGTATTATTTGTGACTAAAGATATTTACTACGAATGTTCATTTTTTTAAGGTTATGTTATTTGTTTGATTATGGTTATATGGATATGGTTATGAATTATTTTTTGCTGTATTTCAAGGTATTTTGTTGTTGCTTTTATCATTTATTTGTTAATGGGTTATTTAAAAATTAATTAATAAAATCATTTTGAATTTATTTACTTTACATTGAAGTTAAAAAATATTTAAATTAATGTTTTATTCTTTTTTGAAGTACTTGTGATTTTATCCCCTAAAAGAATAAATATATTAGTTTTCTCGTAGTTTAAATAGTTAATAGTAGTTTTGTTGTAATTACTGAAAAAATCAGTAATGCTGGATATCTCACACGTATTTACTAGCCATTATATGCCCAGATCTAAAAATAGTAAGTCAAAAACTATTCCAACATTCACAAACAAACATTTTTAACACTCATTATGGCAATTTGATAGAACGGTGTCCACATGTTATATTACAACTTAAACTACGAGAAATATCTGTCTTTTGCAGGATAAAATCACTGACAACGAAAAAAAAATTAAAACATTAATTTAAATATTTTTCAACTTCGCAAATAAATTCAATGATTTATTGATTTATTTTGAAGTAACCCTGATAAAACAACAACAAAAGACCTTCAAATACAGTGCAAAAATAATTAAAGTTTTAATAAAACTTGAATCAAACAATAACAACCTTAAAAATATGAACATTCATAGTAAATATCGTATTATTCTTACCTCACAAATTCACGAACAACAAATAATACCAATCGCACAGAATGAATGATAATAACCAAAAGTCCTTATTCTTCAAATCATTAAACAAACCAATACCTCCAACTTTTATGGGACAAATGCACACAAATTAGAAATGTTTGGAAAGGTTTTTAAAACCCCTGCCCATTGTGACGTCAGATTAGGTAGTCCACTATGTCTCGTCCGTGGGTTTTCAAAAGATTGAAAAATTTAACGTTATTGGTTAAGTAAATCGTGACAGTATAAACAGTAGCTCGCATTTTTATTACGGCTTGTCCTCGATTTTTATGTTTTACCATACCAGAATATGTTTGTCAGACTGCCTTTACAGTTTAAGGCTGTTTATTGTTATACAGGGTGGTGAATCGTCAAACGGGCCATAGGAAACTCAATGGGAAATTCTTAATTGTTGAATTCCTGCTTCCCTAATTATTTCACACCAATTAGTCATGAGAAACTATTTGTAGAGGACATCAAATTATGTATCGAAAAACAAACTGTTAAAAATTGTTCTACGATTTAAATGTATTCCAAAATTTGCTAAAATATAATACATTTTTCAGGCCACTCGTAAAAGTCAGGCCAGACGTCGTGAAAAATATGTATTACGTGTTGCGTTTGTCATATTGATGTTTCTGATATTTGACAATATTTAAATCAAACTATTTTATATTTATCTATGATTTAAATAGGCAAAATTTTTATTTTGTGATTTATTGTTTAAAAAAAATTAATTGATTAAAAAATATACTTAGTTGAGGAGAAAAAGAGCAATAATAAAAAATGTTTTTATTCATGTTTTATTATAACATTTGTTATAGTTTTATGTTTAGAAATTATCATAAATTATTTTTAGGAATAAAGATCACAGTAACAGTATATTGGAATTCATTTGAATATTGTTATATATAACTTAACATTGAATTAAATTTTTAGTTGTATTTGAATATCTTACTTTAAATAAGATGCGGTAATGGCAGGAAAGGTTCGCGCTATTGTCTGAATACAAACTTATGCGATTTTTCGTCAACTGAGTACATTTCATTATATTAATCGTTTTGTAAACAATATAATTTATTATTCACAAAGTAATATTTTGTTGTTCTAGTAGTAGTAGTTAGTATTTAGTAAAATTCGTGTTTATAATTTAATCATTAAAATAAAAAAAAATTGACAATTCAAATTGTCAAACATCTGACATCAATATGATTAATACACACACACGTCTATATAGTATATTCTTTTGGCCCTACGTGTGGGCCTAACTTTTTAGGGTGGGCCTGAAAAATGTTATTATATTTTAGCAAATTTTGGAATAGTTAATTCGTAGAAAACAATTTTAAACAATTATTTCGATGCATATTTGGGTCCTCTACACATCGTTTTCTCATGACTTTTGGTGTAAAATAATTAGGGAAGCAGGAATTCAACAATTAAGAATTTCCCATTGAGTTTCCTATGGCCCGTTTGACGATTCACCACCCGGTATAATCGACATCTTAATACCTACAAAGCGTTGATATCAATTTATTTTTTACTTGCTGAAGTATTTTTAAATGGACACACCGAGACAAAAGTTAAAACATTCTGATATTTTTATAATTTTTAAATATTCATAAAAAATTCATCATATCTATCAAATGATTATAAAATTGTATATTTTTTAAGTTATTTTAATTAATTTGTTTAGTTTCATATATATTAAATTTTCAGTGAAACAGCGGGGCCATCTTCAAAATCAAAAGAAACTAAACAACCGCCTCCATCATCCCAAGGAAATTATGGAAATTATAACGCCCCCTATGGACCACCGTCAAACCAACCATCATATCCCCCGTATTCTGGTGGTTCTCAACAAGGACCCAACTATTATCCTCAGTACGGTCAAGGAGATCAATACCAATATCAAAATTGGCAATATCCACAAGGTGGCTATGGTGGATACAATCAATGGAGCGGTTATGGGGGAGGATATGGGTACTAACCAAGTTACAAGAATGTTGGTACTAATAATAACCATCAGAATCATCGCTTGTGCAGTTCACAAATCTGTATTGGGTTTAATTTGGCTCCCAAATTTTCGTTAAAATGTTATTGGGCACCAAAATTTTTTTAGTGTTTATTATCATAACTTGTGTTGCAATTGTGCAATTGTGTTAAATATTTTACGAACCATATTTTTTTGTATTTTCTTATTACGGAAATCATGTAATTTTAATTAGTATGTCAAAATAAAAATTAGTATTAAAAAATATTTTTATTTCCTATATTTACAGATAAAAATGGTTTAAAAAATTACTTTATGGAAATTGTCAGGTAAACTGTATAAAACAACAGTTGGATTTTTTCTTTTAGTTTTTTGGTCATAAATTTCATCACATATGTTTATTTAGGTACTTCTTGTGTCGAGGATGCCTACAAAACAAATATAAATGGAAATCATTAGGTCATATCACATACATTTAAGAATCAAGTAAAATTATTAACTACGCACAAGTGGTGAACGAAACGGACAAAAACTACAAATATTTTTTTCCAGGGCTATTAATTGGGAATGATCTTAGATGAATCACGTGACGACTTAACATGTCATGGCTAGAGAGTCGAATATACTAACGTAAACAAAAATCATCTTGGTGCTACAGCCCTTAGAGGGCCTCGATCTTCTCAAGCTTTCTACGCCATTTTGTTGTGTTCCTTTGTCCTGCCATTTTCCAGTTGCGGACTCCGATCTTCTCGGCATCTTTGTGTTACCCCATCCATCCACCTCAATCTTTGATATACTCCATCTTCTCATTCTCACGGGTTGCGCTGTTAGAATCTTTTTTATATATGTTCGATTTCAGGGGCCCGGGCTACATGTCCTGCCGACTGCAGGCGGTTTCGCTTAATTATAGTGGTAATAATTTAAACCACCAAACGTGTGCATTGTAGATAATCTGCAGTTTCAAAAGTTATTATCAACCTCCATATTTCCGTTCTTACAGACCGCTCCGAATATCTTGCGTAGCACCTTTCTTTCAAAAATCGATAGAGCGGATTCATCTGTTTTAGGTTGGCGTTTCCATTACTCTAATATGGATATGGTGGAGAACGGGGAACTAACAGTGTTCCAATAACAGTCTTAATAAGAGTTATTTTTGAGGCAGGACGTTTTGTTAGCTAAGTACTTTGATATACCATGATAACACCTGTTTGCAATTATTATTCGCCTTTTTATTTCCTCAGATGTGTTAATATTGGGGTTAACCGATGTCCCTAGATATAAAAACTCTTTGATTCGAAATTTTTGGTCATTGATGAATTAAATCTGCGTCAAAATTTTCCAGCTCTTGTGTTTAGTTGCCATGAATTTGGTTTTTATTTTGATTTATGTGTAACCCCATTCGTTCTGCTGCTTGCTGCTAGCTTAGTTAGGATTTCCGCAGTTCTCGCCCTTGTTCTTGTTAATAATGTCCACTGTCGTCTGCATATGCTAGAATTTGGACCTCACTGATCTATTAAATATTGTTCCCCTGCCTATCTAAAATTGGAGTCTCGTACAACTTTTTCTAAGGCGACATTAAAAAGCTGATACGTCAGCGCAACTCCCCTGCCATAACCCCCTATGTATTTCAAATGGAGTTAACGAGTCGTTTTGAATTTTTACTGCTGATATCATCTTCGCCATTGTCACTTTTGCAAACATATGAGTTTTTTTTGGAATTCCTAACTCATTCAAAAATATACTAGACAGCAAACAGTGGATTAGATTGGCGCAAGATAGAGAAAGATGGAAGTAATTGGGAGAGACCTACATTCAGGAGTGGATGGAAAATTGTTGACAAAGAGAGAGTCCCTATGCACTAACGTGCAATTTGTGTGAATTCTATGCACTTTTATTACATATACATCTACGGAAAAGCAGTTCCAAATTAAATTTCATCAAAATACCTATTAAAGTCAAAAATCATGTTTTTTTACAAAAATATAATTCAAAAAAACATGAAAACACGCGGATTTTATTTTTTAAATCAATATTTTTTTCCACGGGGAGTATAGGTATAATAGGCATTCCTTCATATAAAAAGAAGTTCTATCCTTCACTTACAATGTACTTTTGGTACATTATTAGTATCCGAGATACGATTTTTCAGTTCGTCACTCAACTCATTTTCCCTATTTTTTCGCAAAAATGTTATTTTATATTATAACTTTTTACGCAGTTTTAGGTATATACATGAATCAATTAACATGGTCTAGGACTAATTTAAACAAGATATGGTTCTTCAAAGTTTTCTACTTTAAACGAATTTTTCAACTTTACGACCAAGTTCCCATTGTAACTTTTTTCTGGTACATTCAGGTGTATGCATATCAAATAAAAGAGAAAGCTTAGTTTCTGTCATTTAAAATAGTCTATTGTAAAATATTTTAAGACTAACGGTAGCTAAGATCTGGTTCGGCAAAATATGACGCTCGCAATGATTTTTACTAACTTTTACAGATATTTTTTTAATTTCTAGTTATAACTTTCCTTGTACAAATCGATGCAAGCATCTCACTTTGACGAACCATAAGTTGGTTACCGTCAGCCCTAGAATATTTTAAAAATCACTATTTCAAGGTACAGAAACGAAGCTTTCTTTCTTATTTAGTAATGGGTATACCATAACTGTACAAAAAAAAATGATGAAGTTTTTTTTATTTAATTAATGGCTTTGGATAACTTGATCCATTCAGGGCACGATAATGTATTTGAGTACTTGAATTTGTTAATGATGTATTGACCTATTGCATTGGTTAACAAAATAGTACTTCACATAGAGGAAAATTCAAAATATAATGTAAACATTAGTATCACAAGAATCAGTAGATTGACAAGAAACCATACTTTCATTTGTTCCGTTCAAGGCCCTAACCAACTTAAAGTAAATATTTGGAACCAACATCATTCAATCTTCGCTTATCCACTGCTGGACATAGATCTCCCTCATAATTTTTTCATCTATTCCGATCTTGTGCCTCTTGCATCCAATTCCAGATTGAGGGAAACAAAGCTAAATTTATACATTTCACATTACACATTCCATGCTAAATTTTCTTTTAGTCTTTTTTAAATATTCCCAAAACATTTGGTTAAGCCCAATATTATGACGAGAGATATATAAAATAGAAGATTGACATTGAGGAAGAGGTATTTGTTCTTTTATCAGATTTTCCAATAGAAAATTAAAAATAGAAAGACTTTGAAGAACCTTATCTTGCCTAACATTAGTGCTAGAACCTAAAAACTGCGTAGAAACGGTCACTTTGATGGTCTGCTACTAAAAGGCACATTACGAATTACCGGAGTAACAAGCTATAAAAATTTATTATTTCACATGTGGCAAGTAAGCAGCTAGAGTAAGCTTCAAGGTGAGAACACAAGAACAGTGGTCGCAAATTCACCACAATGTACATAATTTTTTAAAATTAATCAGATTGTTAACATTTGATTGGCTTACCAATCAAACCTCGGGAGTTCAACCCCTTGCAAAATATATATATATATAAATATATATATATATATATATATATTATATATAGGTTTTTTCCGCTAACAACCGATAAACCTTGACCCTGGTGTGCCGGAGGTTCACCGTGGTCGCCTTTCTGTCCGTTTCCTTTATATTTTTATTTGTAGACTCAGAAGTCTTTTTCTGGGTCATCTCTTTTTAACTCTGTGGAACGACAGTAAAGATATGTCAAATTGGTCTGGTCGTTAAGTTTTAAGGGTTATATTAAAATATACTAGATATCAAAAGGGTTTAACACTCAAGGGACTCTTTCCGTGTTATTGAGTCCTAGAAAATGTATGCTGTTTAAGAATCGCTGGTGTTTGATGTTCTCTATTTCCTTTTTTTGAGTCCCTTCAAAAAAGATAGTTCTTCGGAAACGTTCCAGTTCTGTGGGTATTATCGTGAATATTTTCACTATTCAAGAGTTATTCCTGAATTTGACATTCATATCGGTATCTGTCGTTTTGAAAACCGATGGTGTTGTTCAGGTAGTTTTTTGTTAGTATGTCCATTATTATTCTTTTAATTTAAAAAGAAAACATGCTTTACAACCGTCAGGTAATAAAATGTTATGTATCAGTTTTGGTATATTTATATATAAATACCAATGAGATGTAAAGGCAAGTGTAGTTGTAAGATTAACTGTTAGGTTACGGGATTATGATGTGTATGATTGTATTTTTTGTTCTTTTTTTGATTTAACTCCATGATTTCTGGTTCTCTCTCTCCAACGGTGCTACAGCCCAAGTCGAGCTCTGGCCTTCCGCATCACCCGCCTCCAAGCATCCCTTTCTTGGGCTGCTCTCCAGTTATCCACCCTCAATACCTCTAGCAATTGTTCTCACTTCATCTCTCCACCTCTTCCTACTGACTGACGCCCCACTATAGTTCCACTAAGCGTTCTATTGGATGTTCTGTTATTGTCCATTCTTATAAAGTAACCTGCCTAGCGCAATATTTGTAATATGCATCATTTGCTACAGAGGGTTATTTGCAATATTTGATTTGATTTTTGGTTCATGTTTATTATATATACAAATCATGAACCTTTACATATTAAAAAAATAAAAAATCGAACAATATTGAAAATTAGATCATTGTGCTTGAATATTACATTAATTGTGATATTAGATTAATTGTGGCACTAGGTTTTAAGTTATACCATGACTTAACTTATTTAAGACACATTAAAAAACTTACTTTTCTATTACATCTTCGACGTTCTTTGAAATTGTTGTTCTGTTTCAAATTCCAAATACGACGCCAATGTTCTTATAACATTTGCCTCTACGGACAGTCCGAGGACTATTACAAATCCGGTCAGTTTTTTAAACAAATTACTTAACTGCGATCGTATCTGTAAAAACAGGTATGATTAAATAAATCAATAAATAATAATAATAATCAAAAATAAATCAATAAAAATCGAACGCTGACTTGACTTTGACTAGAAAACATGGAATGCAATATGAGTATATCATATTCTATAGTTTTCTACGAATTTTCTCAACCATAACATTTAAATTAATAATCTTTTGGTAATCTATATAAAGTTTGTGATCATTAAAACCATTTTGCATGGGATAATATGCTATTTAACGATTTCCACAGAACTATCAGTTCAAGCAAAAAGATTTTTAACATATTCCATTTAAATTATAAACAAATGTCGCAATTGATACTCTAAACAATAAATCTTACATCATTGTAAACATGTGTCCTTTTCATTCCTCGAGCCTTTGTCAGCGCTTGGTGATACCCTATATATTATTGGCGACGATTCTGCGCCATATGAACGGCTTTATGTTTTGGATTTTCCACCCATCATTCAGGTGAACTGCCCATCGTGTTTTAGATCTTCCTCTTGGTCTCCAGCCTTCTATCTTTCTTTCAACTACCAATAGTTTCATGGGCCCTGTTCTTCTAGCTATGTGGCCGAAGTAAATTAGGTATGCTTGGCTTACTTTTTTTAATAGCCTGTCTTTTATATAAAGCTCTTCCATAATTGACAGGTTGGTTTTATGTTCTATCCAGGACACGCGTAGATTTCTTCTATAGACCCACATTTCGAAGGCTTCGATCTTATTCCTCTCGATTGTGTTGAGAACATGTTTCAACTGCGTATGTAGCAATGGGAAAAATTAGGAGTATTTGAGCAACCTAAGCTTAGTATTCCTTGTTATTGTTCGGCCTGTCCCTATTTTAATCAGTTTAGCTGTTGCGGTTCGGGCCATTGCTAGTCTAAGCTTAATTTCTGAGGAGCAATCGCCATTGTTGGTTATCAGGGAGCCTAAGTATATAAATCTCCACTTGGTGTATGTGCGGTAGATTAGTATCTGCAGTCTACGATCATTATTTTTGTTTTTCCGGTTTGATCCGAGGCCCGAATTCTTCACTTATCCGACTTAGCCGTTTAGTGATAAGTATACTGCTAGTATAAGTGTGTCATCTGCGGAACGCAGGTTGCTGATTTTTCTGCCTCCTATAGTGATTCCCCAATCCCATTCTTCTAATACTTTTCTCATTATATTGTTCATAATATTGTTTAAAAATTGTGTAAAATAATGGTAATAGTATGGAGCCGTGTCTAGTTCCTTTCTTTGTTTTGAACGCATCTGAATATATTCCGTGTATTTTAACTTTGGCTGAGTTTTTATCACACAATATATCTTGTTAGGTTAATTATGTTGTTTAGGGACTCTCATATTTTTCATTATACTCCAGAGGAGATCCTATTTTATTGAATCGAAAGCCTTTGTGTAATCTACGAAACAGAGCAGCTTTGATATGTCGTGTTCTCTCACTTTTTCTATTATATGTCTGGTGTTCAGTATTTGCTCCCGCGTTCCTTTTCCTAGTACGAATCCATATTGTTCTTCGGCTATCTCTGGGAGTAGAAAGCTCTTTAGCCATTCATTGATTATATGTACATGTTCACAAACAATTTGTGTACATGTTCACAAATTTCAATAGGGTTCCTTCGCTGGAGAATCATTAAAAATCGCTGGCGTGCGCCATTTTTTAGGATGCCCAAGTTATCACTTTAACTTTTCCTTGGACTTTCTGTACTTTTTCGCTTACTCCCAGCAATCAGCAAGATTGTAAAGAGAGTTATCTTCAGCAGACTCCAAGCAGAAACTGACAGGCTAGGAATAATACCAGAGGCACAATTTGAGGAATGGCCTTCCTGGACGTGAGCAAAGCGTTCGATAAAGTCTGGCATAGAGGGCTAATCTACAAAATGAGAGGATATAGATACAGTGGAGCAATGACAAAATGAATCTCTTCGTACTTGGGGCAACCGGAGCTTCAGAGTTTCGAGTAGGACAAGTCCTGTCCGACCTCGGAATGCCACAGGGAGCGGTCCTGTCACCACTACTGTACACAATATAGACCGCTGATATTCAGCAAATAATCTGAAAACAGCATTGGAAAATATCAAAGAAAATGGAGTATACAGTGGAAAAATGCTATAAACTCCGAAAAGACGCAAGCGGTTCTTTAAAAAGAGACACCAACAACCAGAGGAACAATTTATACGGCAAAACAATCGGATCGAATGAAAGGGCGAGGCAAAATACTTGCAGTAATCGTGGATAGAGGATTAACATTCAAAAAGCACGTTGGCGCTACGGTACAAAAACAGGTTGACGTGATGGCAAAAAAGAGGACTGGCAGATAGAAGAAGTAAGCTAAGAATAAAAGCGAAGATAAGATTAATAAGCAGCATCATAATACCGATACTAACATATGCATATCTCGCATGCAGACACATCTGTAACACAACAAAGAAGAGTATAACAGCAACCTAAGAGTAGCAGTTAACGTATAGAGATACGTCGCTGAACGATTCCTATTTAGAGAACTACAAGTCAGAGTGACAGACATGATGACTGAAAAAGCGAGAATAAAGTTTGCGGGATTAGAGAGCCACTTAGCATAAACGTTCGAAACAGCAAATACTGGATTAAAATAAAATTTACCACGGGAAGGAGGCATAATTTAAAATTACTGGATAGTTCGTAGCTAAATCAATAGACAAACACAGTGAAAACTGTGTAGGTCCCATTAATTAAGATTAAAATTAATAAAAAAAAAAAACCAAAAATTCCGGGCACGTAGGGCCCAATACACTTGAGCACCAAGTCTTCGAAACTGGGCGCAGCCCACAGCGGAGGCTTGAGGTCCAAGCAAGCAATTTCAGTTTCGCGGATGACACAAGAGGATAACATGAATAAAGGCTATCCTGAATTTGAATGGGTTAGAGATCCATGCTGGAGTTCTATTACCCAGGACTCCCACATGAAGAGCATTTGGCTGGTAGGTTGTATCCCTATCGTGAATCAGAGTGCTGTAAGAGCGAAAGGAATAGTCTGGAGCGCGGTGGAGTGATTCTGTTTACACTCGAATTAATACCCGCGCTACAATGAATTGTTAAACCCAAACGTAAATCGAAAGGGTAAACAAGTCCCACAGGCTGGGTTCAAATAATAGGCTTGCTTGCTTGTACTTTATCGGCCGTTTGGTGATTTATATCTTGCTATTTTTACTAATCTGTACTCTTATATTGTACTATGTGGAAGTTCCATTTCATTTAAAATTATAAAGAATGGCGTCTTTTCAATTCAGCCAAAATATTTATAACCTCAGTCAGCCAAGCTGCACTGAATGCTATGTTGTCTATATCTTATGAATCGGTAATAGTTTGGAACTATCAACTGTTCCTTAAGCATATTAAGCAACCCTCAGCGCAAACAAATTGCTTACTGTGCTATGGATGCTAAGGGATAAAGGAATTGTTGGCAACAACAGATCCAATATAAATCAATAACTACAGCTGAATCACATTATCAAACAATTACAACTACAAGTAAAGAAAAACTAACTGGAAATTACCTGATTTTCATATCTCTTTCTTGCATTGGACGAAATTTTGTCGACCGTTAGAAATAGGACATCCACATCTGCTTCTTGGTTATGTTGGTTTTTGTCTGCATATGAAGAACGACTGTCAGATCGTGAAATAGAAGTCAACTGCATATTCTCTTGATTACTATCATTCCACGTTTTCATAATTCTCTGTAAGTTTTCTACCAGTTCTGTAGTGGGAAATGATTTCTCTTGAAATCTAGAGAAATTTATTAGATTTAAAAAACAAATAAGTAAACAATTCCAATAAAATCTATTGGTATTGGACAGCAGCATATTTACTGTTATTAATGTCTTATAAGTCCATAATTCTACTATTTACAAACTTTTCACTTATACTAAAAGTTTTCACTTTATGTATTCATCATTGTTTTAAATAATACAAAAACTTATTTTTATTTAAATGTAAAATCTTTTATTAAAATATAATGTATTTTATTTAAAATTGAAATATTATGTAAAACTATCAGGTAAGATGTAGGGTAAGTTGTTTGGGTATAAAATACTCGATTAGTTTAGAGTTTAGTTAAAGTAGTTTGTACATTGAGAATTAAATTTGTATTTAGTAATCAATCGATTTCTAATATTTCGAGTAAATTAAATTTTGTAGCCTATGTAAAATTTTAAGTTGTGGTTGATTATTTTAACATTTAATTAAATGATTGGCACATATTAAGCTGGTTTTATTGTCTAACTAGCTATGTGTTATGTTATTCGTCTTGTAAAACTTCTTCATGTTTGACCTATGTAAACTTTTGGGCGTTTACTACAAGTGATCTTATACATCATCTGAACACGTACCGGAACTTCGGTTTCTAAAAAAACTGGTCAGTTTTTATACTTTGATTTATTATTGAACACGAATTTTTATCAAATAACCACCAATTCCACCAATATATCGTTTTGAGAGGCATTTTTAGATGATAATCGACAAGTGCCAAGTATTTTTCAGAAGTAGAGTATTCCTCATTTCTATGTTTTTCTCTGGTGAAAGAAATATTTATGGTTAATATTTAATATTTTTTATACAATAATATAATTTATATTTTACCAGTCTACATTTTCATTTGCATTCCCGAAAGTAGTTACAAGTACAGTACAACCGAGTTTAGTAGTAAGTATATACAGATAAATACGTTACTAAAAAAATAAGAGACCTAGAAAAAAAATTTACAAAAAAATCAAATCGAGGGTACACTCAAGCCATTTTAAAAATGATGTAAAATTAAAGCAATTAAAACTGTTAACATACCTGTCTTTATCCCAGCTTCTGACTCGAACTATGTTTTGCTCATTATCTTTTAATAAAACAGCATGAACAATATTTAAATCATTGAAACTGTTCTCTAATTTCCTCCATATTGGTAGTTTCAATCAATGCACTTCGGATACCGGCACTCCAAAGGCTTCTTAATATCTAAAATAATATTTACTAATATAATTATATAATATCACTGTATAATCTGGAAAAAAACTGGTAACAAGTTTATGGATCTTCAAGACAAGACCTCTTCTGGTTTTTATGCTAGGAAAGTAATTGATTCGTAGTATGACATTAATATAGTTATAAGTTTATAACATTTTTCACATAGTTCTTAACGTATTTTTCAAGAGACCTAATCATAACCAGGAGCCTTTTTTATGTTAATTCGATTCTTAGTGTTTGCTTAATTTTCCTAACAGTGAACTTTACATGTGGTAGGTCCATTTAAAAGGGCACATTTAAGTATTCGGTGATTTCTTATTCTTTTTCAGCTGACAATTCTGAATGAAAGGCCAAAAAACATTTTTTAGTTGTTTGTAGATTCAGCTTTTTCTTTGTTGTTTCTGACCCAGGTTTTATTATTATTTCTGATTAGTGGATTAGGACAATAAAACCTTTTGAACATTCGTGTTGCTTTCATCAGCGAGTAATCTGTAGCTTCCGTTCGTGTGAGGCTTTCTAGGTAAAAGAGGATTCCTGATTTTATTCTTCTGTGATTAGCACTTTCAATTCTTTAGTGGGTTTGTTTAAATTTCTTTTATTTTCTATAGTCCTAGTTTGCTGTCATTGTTTCCGTAGTTGTCTTCTTATAGCATTTTTTCTCTGATTGAAAGAGATATTTTATTTTTTCCTTAACTCTTTTCATAATTAGTAGTAGCACACCATGTCGCCTCTTGTATTGTTTTAGTTAAGGTTTTAAGTCATCAATTTCACTTTTTAATGGAAGATCTAGAGTGATTTAGATTATCTAATTTTTCCAGTCGGTTTTATTGTTATGCTGTGATGGCTGTGTTGGCTTATCCATGATTTGAATATGAATAGATATGATCACTGGAGAATGATCAGATGATAAATCAAAACAGGATCTTGCTACGCATTTTTTTGTGTTAATGGCCTTTGTGACTCTTTATTATTGTGCTTTGGAGGGTTGTCGTTTGGATATAGTCTTTGGAAAATGTTTCTATTTCATAGTGTTTTATGAAATCTTGTATGATTATAGCAGTACCTCCATGTGCTTTGTCAGAATATTTAGTATAATACAGTTTGCATTTTGGTACTTGTAAACAGTTTCGATCAGAAAAGTGTGTCTCACAGATCATGATGATCTTGATCTTGTACGAACGCCGTGAGTTCTTGGCCACGTTGCTGAATGCCGTCGGCATTCCAGATGGCGGTTAAGTTTACCGAAAGTACAAGCTGAATATAGCCGCAAATTTCAAAAATATTTGGGCTTGGCAGTGTTGGGATGTTTTTATAATGCATATGTTGTATGCTTCAAATATAAAGAGAGAAAGCTTTTAAAAAGTACATTTTGATTATACTATTTTATGAACTCTGCAATTTTTAATTTATATGAAGCAATAACGATTAAATATTTGTCACTTTCGAGATTAATTGCAAACATCTGGCAACTGCTGATTTGACGATTGCCAAATCTATTTCCTAATATATCAAAGGGTAATTGCAAAAAAATTTCTAATAATTAACTGAAATTAATCTCCAAAGAAACAAATACTTACTCATTCTTGTTTTATACAAATCAAAAATTGCAGAATTTATAACATAATATAAACAAAATGTACTTTTCTAAAGATTTATCTGTTTATATTTGAAGCATACAGCACCTACATTATAAAAACATGCCAGCACTGCTATACCCATGGACGTATAAACATAGATCCCATCTGTGTTTATATGTCCATGGCTATACCAAAATTTGTTGTTCCATGTCTGACATTTGCGGCTATAATCAGCTTGTACTGTCGGTAAACTCAACCCAGATAGCTATTCTAAGTTTTATCATTTCTGCCACTAAGCTAATTTACTGATTATAGTGGTAAGCAAATTGAGCATGGTGCCCATCTGCTCCATAGTTTGCCAAGCATTTCTTCTGTTAAGTTTTGTCGTATTTATGACTACTGGCTGACTATCATTGATATATAGTATTATTATTTGGTTAATTGGCTATTTATATATAAAAAAAACACTTCCGGTTGAACTTGCCAGGTTGAACATTTTCGAAAGTGGGATTTAGCGTGTGCATAAGCCTGGTATCTCGTACACTGTGGTATTAACTGATTAACTGCTTAGAATGAGATGGTTCACATTTTATGATATCGTTGCAAATTTTACTACATTATATATTTCTTTCCACAAAGTCTTACGTTGCCATGTTATTAATTCCTGTTGTAACTTAAACGTTCTAATATATAAGATCAATTAAAGTAACTCAAATAAAATTACGGGTTAAACATTTAACGGGTTTTTACCCAAGTATTTACTGGCTCCAAACATGACATCCAGATAGCACTGATGATGGAATATTAATTCTGAAAACTTTCTGTGATGTGGCCCGATAGGGTATTTTAATATATAAATTTTATAAACGAATTTTTTAATAATTTTTTTTCTATATTTCTTTGTTATTTTCTTTGGGGTTGATATCTATGAAAAATATCGGCCTCCAAATTCTGCTTAACCCATTAGTTCGTTGCGTAAACGCAACAATTTTAATTTAATTTTTTTTAAATGTATCATTACTCAAATATACTTTTATTGCTACATTTTATTTAAAACAGTACATAAAATACAAATCTAATAAAATATTTTGAAATCATTAAAAAGATATATATTTTTTAATTTAGTGAATAATGGAAAAATTGAAAATTCTTTTAAATAATTGATGGATTCGACAGTTACTTGATGCAAATTCATTTTATGTAACAATAAAACACTGAAAACTTTGTTTTCAAACTTCCACAAAATTTATTTTAAACTCTTATCACTATAGCTGATTTGGCTGATTGCCTTTCTCATGTGATCTATTTTTGGCATGCGTTTACACTTTATAGTCTCTAATTGAATAGGTTGAGAAAGGAGAACTGTTTGTCTCAAGTTGGTCATTCCGAATTATATATGTGTTGTTTAGTTTATTGATATCCATAGATTCTAACAAGGATAGCTTAAGACCTTTATTTTGAATGTGAAGAATTTTAAATTCGTCATTAAAAGAATGATTGTGATCTAGAAGGTGAAGTGCGTATGTAGAATCTGTTTTTCTATTATTGAAAGCCCTTTTATGTTCTGCTATTCGTTTATTAAAGTTTTTACAGGCAAAATATCAACAAAAATAGCCAAAAAAATAAAGGAATAACACCAGCTTTCCGAACAAATAACAGCCTAAGCAAATATATACGACGAAATAAAAGATCTTTACTATGAGCAGCTAAATGATGAATACGAGCGCCTACCTAAACGTGATGTAAAAATAATAATAGGTGATTGTAATGCTAAAATGGGAAAAGAACCTCTATACACTACAGTAACTGGTAACTATAGTAAACACGAAGTAACAAACGATAATGGTCAAAGACTTATTGGATTTGCCATGGAAAAAAACATGGTGGTGAGAAGCACACAACTAAAACCAAAAGAGATATACAAAGGTACGTGGGTCTCCCCAGATGAAAGGACGGTGAATCAAATAGATCATGTTATGATTGAAAGTAAATATATGAATATCATTCAGAAGGTAAGAAGTATGAGAGGAGATGAAATCGACTCGGACCATTACCTCGTTAAAGTCACATGTGGGAGGAGGCTGGAAGAAAAAGAGGAATCGAACAATAAAACGAAGAGAAAGTACAATATTGAAAAACTTAAGGAAGTAGAAATAAACAATAAATATGAAGAAGAAATAAATAAAATTCTACAACGATGTGACCAAAATTTACAGATAGATCAAGCCTGGGAACAAATTAAATCTGCTGTAGGAGAATCTAGCGAGAAAATAGTTAAGTGCGACTCCAAGAGAAGTACAAACAAAGATTGGTTTGACGAAGAGTGTCAGGCGATAGCAAAGGAAAAGAAAAGATCAGACAACAAATATTAACAGATAATAGAGAGTGAAAAAAACAAGAATATAGAATAATTCGAGGAAGATTGAAAGCTCTGTGTAGAAGGAAAAAGAGATACCACAATGAGTTGAAATTAAAAGAGAGAGAAGAGAAGTTTAAAAACAAAGAGGTGAGGTCGTTCTATCAAGAAGTTAAAAAGATGGAAAAACGTTACCAAAGCCACTGTAGTTATATGAAAGGTAAAGACGGAAATTTAATTAGCGATCCGGCAGAAATAATGACGGAATGAAAAACAACTACAAAGAAAAATATATCAGCTACTAGTGCAAGTATGGGAAAAGGAAATAATGCCATCAGAGTGGTATGAAGCCCGCATATGCCCTCTGCATAAAAAAGGAGACAAACTAAAGTGTGACAACTATAGAGGTATAGCCTTACTAGACACGGTATACAAAATCTGGCAAGAATATTGAGAAATAAACTAAATTGCTACACGGAAATAATCCTACATGAGTATCAAGCCGGCTTTAGAAAGGAGAGATCTACTGTATTCCAAATCTTCTCGTTAAAGGAGATACAAACGACTTGTTATGAAGGTAAAGTTCCCCTGCATGTTTTGTTTGTGGATTTTAGACAAGCATATGATAGAGTCGATAGAGTCAAAATGTATCGAGCAATGGAACATTTGGGTATACCAAAGAAACTGAACCGGCTAGTAAAAATGACATTAAAATAACTCTAAGTGTGAAATTGCTTGGCAGGGTCACATATCAGATCAATTTACGGTTGCAAAAGGCTTGAAACAGGGAGATCCTTTATTCACTACATTATTCAACTTAGTGTTAGAAACTGTAATCAGAAAAAGCAACATGAAGGTGGAAGAAACAATCATGAAAAATGAGCACCAGTGTTTGGCATTTGCTGACGATTTAACGATCATAGCAAAAACCGAGAAAGAATTAAGAAGAGTTGTGAATAAAATCATCGAAGAAGCACAGAAATTCGGATAGGAACTAAATGAAGACAAAACCAAAAATATGATCATGGGAGGGACAGAAGGGAAAAAAGAAGACTATA